TGGGACGGGGAGCTCACTTTTAATTATGGTTTATGTTTGTTTGGAGAGGAGATTGATTCATTGAAGCTAGGATCAACTTGAAGTTCCAGATGTTAGAGGAAGTCAAACAAGTAAAAGTTTAGAATGCCTGTTTCATGAACCAAAGGTAAATATATCATTTTTTTTCTTTGTTCTTTTATGTAAACTGTTTCAGGTTATATGATTAAAGCTAAGGTTAATCATATATGAATCTGATGATCAGGATGGACAGCTTTTTCACTGTAGCATTGTTGCAGTGTTATGAATGTTATTGGTTTTGAAATGCTGCTACTTATAGCACCATTATTTTGGTGATAAGATATGATTTTAAACTCTTTCAACTGCAACTTCTATATAATGTTATAGAATTACATATTCTTTTTTGTACTTTTGTCTTTTTTTTTTTTGATACTTTTTGCAGGATTAATTCTGTACATCCATTAGGCATGAGGAGTTCGGAGTTGATTGTTAATTATTCCTTTGTACAGTATACTAATGTAATGTTTATGTTTCGGAAAATCATATCAACATTCCTTATTACCTAAAGCTAAGAAGGATGCTGGAGGGTACTATTTGTAATTACATCTAAGGCTGGATTTAGTGACCATGTATGTAGTATATCAGAATATGTAGTAGTTCATTATTAGGTAGTATATCAGCATATGAATGAATATCTGCTTTAAGCAACTGAAATTTGCCTAAAAAAGTCACGCAATTAATTAAAAAAAAAAAGAAAGAAAGAAAAAGAAAGATAACGGTGTACTAACACCGTTGGAACCGTGTTCACCATGAATGGTGAACACGATTCCATGGCATAACGATTGATATACATATCATATAGTAAATATTTAAGGTTTTATTTTTTCAAGACTTTAATCTTTATTAAAGTTCTATATAAATGTTCATTAAGGTTTCATTTTTTTTGCATACTTTAAAACTTGGGTCCAAGAATTTATTATATTAAGTAGTATATTTGTTCACACACACACAAACACACACACACACACACACACACACACACACACACACACACACACATATATATATATATATATATATATATATATATATATATATTATTTATTGGTTAAGTTTTTCTAAATTGAAAAATAATATGAATTAAATTCATATATTTTTATACTGTATTTAGCATTATTTTATAATTTTTTTGAATTAAATTCATATAATTTTATACTATATTTATCATTATTTCGATATCGCACGTGGATTTGTTTTTTAGAAAGCATATATTTAATCATGGTCAAATATACGTAGCACTTTCAATAATAAATAATCTAAAGAGATTACAAATTTTGATTTGTAGAGATAATGGACAATATGTGAGTACGACTTAAAATACCATATACAAAGAAGTTTTCATTAATATGTAATACAATTTGCTAAAAACCGTTTTTTCTTCATTTTTTAATTATTATTATTACATTATATTGTTTATTATTATTATTATTATCTATGGCCGTGCATCGCACGGTTACAAATACTAGTAATAACAACAACAATAATAATAATAATACAATAATAATAATAATAGTAATAATAATAATAAGTTTATATAGTAATTTATATTAAGTTAACTAAGCCCAGTAATTTGTATTAAATTATCAATTTCCTTAAGTTAACATAACCCTATACTAACATCTAATACCAAATCTCTTCGCCGCTGCCCCAGACCTCCGCCTCCGCCTCCTTCCATCATTTTCTTCCGCAAATCGCAAATCTGAACTCGCAAGACCTCTGCGGCTTCGCACAATCGCAATCTGTCAGTCTGAAGAGTGAAGACCTCCGCCTCCTTCCATCATCTCTGTACCTTTGACAATGGTCAGTGAAGAGTGGAGTTCCGGCAGCAGGGCGACAGAGGATGTGGACGACGCTACTTTCTTTTATTTCTGAGCTTCTTCGATCTGTTTTATTTATGTCTGAGCGGTGGCAGATCTCTGTCTTCGATTTTCTGAGCAACTCCGTAATTCATTTTCAGCAATATTCATCTACAGCCGCCAAAGCTCTGCCGATTTTGAGAGAAATAAAAGCAATTTTCAACGCCATTTTTTTTCGGAGGATTGCCGATCCGAAACGGTGGTTGTCTCCGCCTTGCTGAAACGACCATCAGATTCTCATTGGATCGGCGTAGACTCATCGCCAGTCTGAAAATCAGAGTTCAGCCGGCAGCGATGGCTTCAACGATGGTCTACCCTTCTCCTCCACGGTCCGGCAGCGGCGGTGGCTTCGACGGGGCAGAGCAGTGACCTGTTTTAGATTTTTTTTTTTAAATGACATGTTTTAGATTTATTTGAGGGTAAAATAGGAAATAGTAATTTTAGGCTATTCCTGAGTTCGGAACCCCCTAATACCAGGGGGTGCCCGGAATCTCTATTCCCGAAACAATGTTCCTGGGAATAGAAGATTTTACCAAACAAATGAATAGGTCTATTACCGAGAATGTTATTCCATTCCATGCCTATTCCGCAAACCAAACGTGCCATTAGAGTTAATCTGTAATTGTGAAAATTTTTCAAAAGTCTATTCAACCCATCTAGACTTTTTACCATTCAACCGAGACTAACATGATAGAAATCATAATACTTATTACAGAAAATTAATATAATACCAATTTGAAATAGGCAAAACCTTATGTGATACTATCTTATGGGTCATTGTCCGTGAGACAGGTCGTGTCAGGTCGTGTCAAGATGAAAATGTAAAAGTATTACACTTTTCTTTATAAAGTAACAAACAATTTATTCCTGATTAGTATTATATTTTTTAGTATAAGTATTACATTTCTACATTGACCCGACCCGTCTCACATATAAGTCTAGATCAGGGTGAATAGACTTTTTAAACTTTGTCACACTATTGTGATACTTGTTACTAATGATAAATATTGTAATACTTATAACTGAAATTGTGATATTTACACACCCAGTTGTCTACAAGTCGACTCGGCTCACACAAGTTTTTGCTAAAAGACACACAAGTTTTTGCTAAAAGATTCAGGATTCATTTGGAAACCTAAAATGACCTCTGGAAGTCATTTTCCAAATTTTGTCATCTTTGAGTATTCAAAAAAAAAAAAGTCAAAATAAAATATTCATTCTTGTCAATCGAAAAAAGCTCAAGTTGGCAAAAAATATTTTCTTAGATTTTTAATCGGAAGACATTTTTTGGATATTTTCGTGTATGTATCTTCTTCCTCATCTCTTTTCAAGCTAATTTCTATATCATTATTACCACCATCGCCACTACCACTATCACCATCACCCAACCACAACAACCACCACCACACTACCATCACCATGACAATCACCCCTACCACCACCAACACGACCGGCACCACCACATTGTAGTCTACACCACCACACAACCACCATACCACTAGTTATTATTATTATTATTATTATTATTGTTGTTGTTGTTGTTGTTGTTGTTATTATTGTTATTATTATTATTATTATTTTATAACAAATAATATATTTATTTTCAGGAAAATGAATCAAACAGAAAAAATGAAATTTCTTAACGTTTAGTCAAATAGAAAAGTATAATTTTCTGAACTTCAGCCAAACATTAGAAAATTAAATTATTTTTCAATCATTTTCTGAAAATCATTTTTCATATATTACACCCAAAAAAATATATTTAAAAGCCAAGTGTTGGGCTACAAAAAAAATTACAAAAGTGTTGGGGTTCTTATTGAAAATATTAAAGGTTGATTAGGATTAAGGGGTGTATTCAATTATAACTTTTGTAGACTTTTAAAATGATACATTTTAATAAACTATGATTGATTTTCATAGAGTCGTTCAAAACTTTTTAAATCCTTATAGCACTCTATAAAAGTCTTCATAAAAAACATACATAAACTTTTATCAACTTTTTTATTTTAAAAACTAAAAAGTCTATAAAAATCATTGAAATTCTAAATTCAATACATCATTACAAAATTTCAATGATTTTGATTCTTATCATTTATAATTTTCTTACAAAACATGTTATAATAATATAATATATCATAAAATTCTTCTTATTAGATAGTTCTTCACCCACATAAACATTCTTAATATTATTATTTTAATTTATAGTATGGTGAAACTTATATGCCAATTACTTATATATTATTAATAAGCATCAACAACAAAAAAAATATTTCATATGAAATTCATAACAATATTGATCACTAAAATTTATAGTAATTGAATTGTTCAAATAAAATATTTAAAAATATAATTGCTAGTTGCATAAAATAAAAAATTTAAAAATAATATATATATATATATATATATATATATATATATATATATATATATATATATATATATATAATTATAATTATACTTGATATATCGCTAGGCATCAATCAAATAGCTATTATTTGCAATAGCAATTTGAGACTGCAAACAGCAAAGTGCTACTGTTTGCACCCCGAATTACTGTTGTGAACAGTAGTTCGCTCACCCACCGAACTAAAACACAGTACGCTGTGTCGACGAGGTTGATCCTTGGCCTAAGGGTGGTGGGTGAGGGAGCCATTGCTCATGTCGGGAACCGTTAAGCCCCTCCGGACTAAGGGGTGGAGTTGGTGAGTGCCATTGCTTAAGTCGGGACTCTAAAACTTTGAAATCTTGGAGTTGATGATTTGATTTTAACTTTTTGTATTTGTAAAAGAAAAGTTTACAAAAGTTCTAAAATTAAAAGTCGATAAAAATTTATAACTTTTTAATTTTTGAATACCACGTAACTTTAAAATTTTTTAAAAATTTTAATTTGATATTATTTAATTTTTAAAAACTTTTTAAAAATCTTAATTGAATGTAGTCCAACTTTTAAAGACTTCCTAAATATTTAAATTAATATCTCTAAACTTTTGAAGTTTATAAAAATCATAATTGAATACATCCTCGTAAGAGTCAAAGTCGATTCGGACCAAAAGCACACGTAACGAATTATGATGTACCCAACCCTCTCTGCATCCCCATTTCAACTCCGTTGCGATACATTAACAGACTACAATAGAAACACAAAAGTAACCAAAATGGCCGACTCGTCTTCGTCTTCATCATCAGCGCCGGCGACGGTGACGGCACCGTTCTGGACTACTATGCTATCGGGAAAAACGGACGCAGATAAAGAGGAAATGCTCGACCGGCAGCTGACTAGGCTCGCGCTCTGCGATGACTCGAAGTTGCAAGACTTGCTCTCCAAGCTTCTCCCTCTCTCTATCGCATCGCTCTCCTCTCCTTGCACTCCTCTTCGCAACAAAGTATAACCTCGCTGTTTCTCCTCTCATCAATGCTTTAAACACATCGCTTTTTTTCTAGCTGTATTGCTTGATTGATTATTTGAGCAGAATTCAAGTGATGTTCAAGTAAAATAGTTGGAGGGTTTTTAAACTAAAATTGGATCTCGGTTAAATGAGGATGAGTGTAGTTTTGTATAGAGTGGAAGATGGTTAGTGGATAGGGACGGTGATTCTAGAAATTTCCCATGAAAACAAGACTGAACATGCCATTTTTTCCCTTCCATCGAAATTTATGCATAAGAACTTTTGTGCCTCAAAAATAATCTGGGAGATTCTTGTATTTTGTATCAACCTTTGTAATTGATGAGCTCAAAATGGCATGTTAAACATTTCCAGAAAGACTAGATTTAAATTTATAATGTTCACCGGACCTATTACAGTCTAGATTTTTTAAAAATTAATTTATTTTTATATATTGCATAATGGTTAATTCTTGGTCAAGGAATGGGTATTACATTTTGCGAATCACATAATTTACAGAATGTTGCTACTCATGTACATGGTTCCTTGGGCTTGATATTGTTGCATCTATAAGTATTTTGAACTGCATTAGACAATGAGAGGGTGATAATCCCTTGGTCTTGCATCTTATCCAAAACTGTTTGTGAGCTAACTGATTTTGCTCCAGAAGTGTGTGTATGATGGGTATTTGAGACTGAATTATGTGACTTCATTTGGACTTCATATTCATGTGCAAAGTGCAATTGCCTACGTATTTTACTCCATATTTATATTGCAGGTAATTGAGATCCTAAGCCATGTGAACAAAAGAGTGAAACACCAACCAGATATTGGTTTGCCCTTATTAGAGTTATGGCAGTTGTACGAGGAATCTAGTGCATTTTCAATGGTCAGGAACTTTTGTATTGTGTATATTGAGATGGCAATAGAACGTGTTCGAAAAGAGGTTTGAATTAATATTTACAATACTGCTATTTTACATCTTAAAGAAGAAAGCAGAGATTCTTCTCAAAATGGATCTGGGATAATTATACCACACAAAATAACAAGTTAATTATTCCATTGTTTTTTGAAGGAAAAGGAAAACATGACACCTACTCTTTTAGCTAGCATTTCAAAAGTCCCTACTCAGCATCAAGAGATACTATTGAGAATTATTACAAAGGTGATTTTCCGTTATCTGAATGAAGATGAAATTTTCTATGGAATTTCTTGATGCATAGCAACTATAATCTGCACTAATCTCAGGTAATTGGCGAGTGCCATTCAAGTCATCTCAATGATGAAGTTGTTGCAACATATAGGAAACTCGGTGGGTTGCATGACAATGAGATCTTTCTTGAGTTTTGCCTTCAAATGATTTTATATCAACCAATTCTGCAGAGGTATGTATAATTATATTTGTTTACTGCTCTTATGTTTGCTAGTTGACTTGTATAGACATATAGTAGTGATAAGAGGTCTTTCTTCATAGTGGGGCTTGCCCAGCTGGGTTATCAATTACTCAATGCAACCGTGTCACTGGGAAACAACAATTGACAAGTGATACACTGCGTGCTAGAAAGGTGAGAAGTTAAACATTATGCTTATTTGAAGTTTGGTGGCTACATGTAAATAAACTATCTTGGTTATGTCTCTCTCTCTCTCTCTCTCTCTCTCTCTCTCTCTCTCTCTCTCTCTTTATATATATATATATATATATATATATATATATATATATTCTCTATTATGCTGATTACACCTTTACACAGATAGGGATCTTGAATATCGTTGAAGCTATGGAAATTGCTGCTGAACTTGTTTATCCACTATACATAGCTGCCTGTGCTGACAGGTAGTTATCTTTATCACTAAAGCTGCTTTCAAGTAGCTAATGCATTTGAAATCTAACCTGAAACTTATGTACTTTATTTATATATTTGGAAAAATAACACCCGACTCTATGTTTTTTTTTTTTTTTGTTGCTCAAGTCAAGAATCTGTTGTTAAGAAAGGGGAGGAGCTTTTGAAGAAGAAAACTTCTGGTGTGAACTTGGATGATGTGAACCTGATAAAAAAATTATTTTTGCTGTTTAATGGTATGAATAATTATACTTTGGTATGACTGCCTTCCTTTTATTGCATGTCTTGACTCTCCTAGTTGACAGCATGCCGAATGATATCCAAACTGAAGGCAGAAGGATCCTTTACCTTCTTTGTCTATCAGGTGTTTACTAATTTTTGTTTAGGTGATATGAAATTATTTCATTAGAAATATACCTTTTCTCTAACATGAAAAGGGTGGCCAACTATGATTTGCCATGGTTCTCTGACAGGCATTAGATGATATCAATGACCTAAAGAGAGCATAATTAATTAATCATTCAAATTGCGAACTTAACACTCATTCAAATTGCGAACTTAACACTCATGCTTTTCAAAATACTTTTCTTATAGACTATTGTCATTTTGGTCATTGTAATATTGTACTTCGTAATATCTATTCCAGAACAAGAAAAATAATAAAACTCACTCAGCATCACTCTTGTAAATTTTATATTCAATGAATTGTTGTAACTGAAAAATAATCTTGAAACAATCTAATTATATAATGACAGTTAAATCATCCAGCGAAACATGATTTCCTTCTAGCATCATAACAAGGTTCACTAATAAACTCCTCAATCTATGTACTTAGAGATTTCCTGTCAGCACAACAAGAAAATATATTTATGACCTCATTTGAAGTGATGATCTCTATGAAAAACACCTTCAGTGAATGCTGTTGCTTGCAGAGTATAATCTCAGTTGCACAATCTACTAGTCATTTCTAACATTTCTGGATGTTTCTCCCCTGAATTGTATTACACTGGTTTTAGTTGCACTGGCTCTATCCAAAAACGTTGCTGCTTTATCTCTTGGGTTCAGTTGCAGTGAACTCAACTTTATGGTTGGTTAACGATGTATAGGTACCACAGGTTCTGAACAAATTCCTCCAGAGTCTAAAGTCACCCCTGCAAATGCATCTTTGAGAGTGAGACTGATGTCTGTTTTCTGCCGATCAATTTCAGCAGCAAACAGTTTCCCATCAACATTACAGTGCATTTTTGGCTGCATATATGGTAAAACAATATTCTCTTATCGCAGCATAGTTGTTCTTCAGATCTCCTGCAACATAAAAGCTTTAGAGGATCACATACTATTCATTTTGTATATGCATGTGTATAAAATTTAAAGGAGCACATAATTTCTTTTGGATTTTGAGGTTAGAACAACGTAATGCATTAATTTATATAAAATGAAATGAAGATTTTTAAAACTAGTAATGTGAGAAAGGGTATCCTTACTTTTCTTTGGTGAAAGAACATGGATCTTCCCTGGGTTTGACACTAACAGAGTTCCTGACACATTTGGGAACCTTTGTTGAGATGAACCCTTTTACTTTTTCTGGGAAACCTTTTGTGCTTTGATCTAATTGCTTTGTTTTTAAAGAGTAACCATAGTCTATTGAACTAAAATTTGGAAATGGAGGTATCTCAAACAATTTTTATTGGGGGCATGTGCCACCATCAATGAATGTTAGTACTTCCTTTCTAGTGTACTTGCCTGTTTTTTCATTGGGTGGGAGGATACTTGCTTTAATCTTCTTGCTTTGTAGGAAACAATACCACCTCAAGGTTGAAGCAGTTGGGAATGGAGTTTACAGTATGGGTCTTTAAATATGTGAGTATTTAATTATTTATGTTGTATTCTTTTACCACTCAGTTATCTATCACAATTCACACATAGCTTAAAGTTGCTGTGGATAAACTAACTTTTCCATCAATGAATATATTATTAACAATAGTTTCTAGAAGGAACGTAACTAATGTTTACTGATGAAATTAATGTAATATCAGTGCAGCCTAAAAACAAGTATTTCAGCTGCACTGTGTATAAGAAAATGCTTGTGGCAGTGAAATCATTAAATGTTCTAATGACCGTTTTAAGAGCAGTCTGTCTCTTTTTATTCCAACTGTGGATTACTTTTCAAGTTTTAAAGAAGATTAATCATGATGAATTGGTAAAGCATTGCTTAGCTGAAAAATGAAAAAAATTGCTTTTGTGTGATGTACATGTTTGAATTATCAATCTTTATAATCATCATATGACTCACATTTGATGCTTAAGATGGTAACAGTGATGTCATTAACAATTACTTATAAAAAATATAAAGAATAAAGAACAATGGTATTTAACATATTTGTAGTCTTCTGAATGAGGAAAGTGAGCATAGTTTTTTTTTTTTTGGGTTATCCTTTTCCCTTGTGTGATCACATACCTTTTCTTCTTTTTCTTTGTATATTAGGAATGTGAGCATAATTCTTGTTGTTGTTGTTTATTTTGTTTTATTTTATTTTATTTTATTTTTTAAATAATAAATGCAGGCAACAATGGACCAGTTGAAGCTTATGGGCCCTGTTATCTTGACTGGGATTTATAAATCTCTTGATGGCTATTCAGCACCAGAATCAGGTTTCCTACTGGCTGATCTTACTGTTTGAACTTTGTTATAAATTGTTTTATCTTGTAACATAGAATATCAATACATTCACATTCTTCCAGATGCTGTTGCTAGGGATACCAAAGCTTTTGCCTTTCAAGCAGTTGGATTGATTGCACAACGAATGCCTCAACTCTTTAGGTACTCTTATTTCTTTGTTTATTTATTTCATTCCATCTTTGTCTTCCTAATGTTTGCTCAACTTTCAATAAGAGTTTGTAACTTCTGTTTCTATACTTCTAGAGATAAAATTGATACAGCTGTCTGGCTTTTTGATGCTCTGCAATCAGAGGGCCAGTTTCTCCGTCTAACTATTCAAGAAGCAACCAATTCTCTTGCTGTTGCTTACAAGGTTCTAAATTTCTTATCTATCTATTTAGCTCCTCGCTTTCAGTCCTAGTTTTCTGATGGTTACTATCTGGTGTTCAGGATGCACCATCAAATGTTTTAAAGAATTTGGAGTCACTTCTGCTGAAATGTTCTAAAGTGGTAGAGATATGTTCCATATGTTTAATGGGTTTGTATCCATTGTATAAAATCCCTCATCCATAATAATACCTTATTCTTTTCACTTGCAAGGAACAAAGTGAAGTGCGTTTTTGTGCAATAAGATGGGCAACAATATTATTTGACATGCAACATTGTCCTAGCAGATTTATTTGTATGCTTGGAGCAGCAGATCCAAAACTGGATATAAGGTATCCTAATAAATACTTTGTGTTTAGTTACGAGATTACTTTTGAATATTTAACTTTAGTTTTTATTTGAGTTCTTAATGGGTTTATTGTTAATTACTGTTCTGCACTTTTTACTTGTAGCTTTATTCAGTATGATGTATTTGATGTATGTTAATTTGAGATCTCTCTCCTTCTCCTCATGTGTTGTGCTTTTATGCTCATAACTGCTGTTTATTATTCTATTTTCGTTCGATATCTATCTCATTTTCTTTCTTTGGTACATACACATACGTACATGTGTGTACATATGCATGTATGAAGGACACTTAGAAGGGGTGGGGGGAGTTCGCCAGGAGCCCTACCGTGTTTATAAATTTAAAGGAATAAAGGTCAAATAGGCCACCAAACTACACAGCAAATTGTAATTCGGCCATCGAACTAAAAAAAACTAAATTAGGTCCTCGAACAGCGCAAATTCATGCAATTCGACCTAAAATGACTTGTTGACTTAGCAACACGTTGACGTGGTGGTTGCTGAATTAAATTTTTTTTTTTTTTTAAATTTTATTTTAATAAATTTGAATTGCATGAATTTGCGCTATTTGAGGACCTAATTGTAGTTTTATTGAGTTTGATGGCCCAATTGCAATTTGTTGTGTAGTTGGGTGACCTATTTGACCTTTATTCCAATTTAAATTAAAACCAATGTTGCAAAAATCGGACCTAGGCACTAGGCGGCGGCCGACCGCCTTGAAAATCACCGAAATCGGTGATTTATGCGGTTGGCCGCCTAGGTGGCCTAGGTGCCTACTAGGTCGAGGCGGACTAGGCAGCCTAGGCGGTCTATGATTAGCTGTTGTTCCAATTATTTTTTTAAATGGGTTATTTCGCTCATAACGACGCCATTTTGAGCGAAATAATCCTAATTCCTAAATCGTTCAAATCGGTCGCAAACCCGAAAAATGTAAAAAAAACAAAAAAATCGAAATAAGCTACTCTAATATTGAAACTTTCTGAGTTGTGACTTTGTGGAATTGTGTTTTGATTCTTTAAATATTTAATTCTTTATACAATTTACAATTCTAGTTGTTTTTTAGGTTAATATTTAATATTTTAGTATTAACTATTAAAGTATTAAATAGTTTATAATTGTTGAAAAGGAAACTAAAAGGAACCTGAACATCTTCTTGTTATTCCATCTTACAAAGAACAACACATTACAGGACATTATATAGGAAGATAACAAGTATTGGGAAGGGACATAAAGGGTCTTCCCAAGGAAAAACTATTCCACTCCCAAAGACTTAAAAGCATAATAAATAACCCTGCAGAATAGGCTGCTCATATTCCAAGATAGGCTGCTCATATTCCAACACTCCCCCTCAAGCTGGAGTGTATAAATCAAATGCTCCTAGCTTGCTACAAATATACCCAATTCTAGGTCCACGAAGAGATTTGGTGAGAACATCAGCAAGTTGATCGTTTGACCCAACAAATGTGGTAACAATGACTCCGGATGCAACCTTCTCGCGTATAAAGTGACAGTCAACCTCGATATGTTTGGTCATTTCATGGTAGACAGGATTGGAGGCAATATGTAGAGCTGCCTGATTGTCACAAACAAGTTTCATAGGTCCAAGCTTGCAGAAATTGAGTTCTGTGAGAAGTTGCTTAACCCAAATTAGTTCACAAATCCCTAGTGCCATTACTCGGTATTCTGCCTCTGCGCTTGACCGTGCAACCACATCTTATTTCTTGCTTTTCCAAGAAACCAAATTCCCTCCAAATAGGACGCAATATCCTGATGTCGATCTCCTATCCCAAGGACACCCAGCCCAATCTGCATCTGTGTAACCAACAATTTCTGTATTTCCATGATCTTTATAAAGTAATCCTGTACTTGGGGATCTCTTCACATATCTTAAAATTCTGATAGCTGCATCCCAATGGCTTTGGCATGGCTCTTGTAGAAACTGACTAATAACACTTACCGCAAATGAGATATCTGGACGAGTGATAGTCAAGTATAATAGCTTGCTGACTAATCTTCGGTAACTGCTTTGGGTCGGATAGAGGCTCCCCCTGACCTGGAAGAAGTTTAACATTCGGATCCATGGGTGTGTCAACTGGCTTGCTATCTGTCATACCTGTTTCTTCAAGGATGTCCAAAGCATATTTCCATTGTGACATATAAATACCTTGTTTAGATTGGGCCACTTCAATACCAAGGAAATACTTCAACTTTCCAAGATCCTTTGTCTCAAAATGCTGAAACAAATGTCTTTTAAGTTCGTTTATTCCCTCCATATCATCCCTTGTGATAACAATGTCATCGACATATACTACCAGATATATGTTTTTTTCCAAATAGGTTTCTATAGAAGACAGAGTGATTAGCTTTGCTTTGATTCATGCCAAATTGTTGGATCACGTCACTAAATCTCCCAAACCAAGCACGAGGAGATTGCTTTAAACCATAGAGGGACCGTTTGAGACGACAAACAAGGTTAGTTCCAGTCTTAGCTACAAAGCCAGGGGGCTGCTCCATATACACTTCTTCCTTCAAATCCCCATGCAAGAAAGCATTTTTGATATCCAACTGATACAGGGACCAGTTACGATTAGCTGCCATTGAGAGGAAGAGACGAATAGATGTGATCTTAGCAACTGGTGAGAAGGTATCTGTGTAGTCAATGCCAAAAATCTGTGTATGTCCTTTAGCAACAAGTCTGGGTTTGAGTCTATCAACTTGTCCATTTGGACCAACTTTCACATTATACACCCATCTACAACCAACCACAGTTTTTCCAAGGGGTAAAGGAACTAACTCCCAGGTCCTAGAAGAATGAAGTGCTTCCATTTCATCAATCATTGCTTGCTTCCATCCATGATGAATTAATGCTTCTTTGACACTTTTTGGCATAGAAACAGTAGATAAACTAGTAATGAAAGCACAATATGATGGAGACAATCTCTTTTGTGTAAGAAAATTATAAATAGGATAAGGATTCCGAGTGGATCTTTTACCTACTCGACTGGCAATGGGAGAGCTTGTTGTGGTGCTTTGGACCGTGTCAGTGGGCAACGTTGATGTGGGACATGAATCAACTAAAGGTCCATCCTCTTGGGAACCTTGACGATTGCGCCGCTGATAGGTGTACAAGAAAGGTGAACTGTGTCCTTGAATGGTTGGCATTGGTATAGTTCTTTCAGGAACAGTAGCGGACACGGGCTTTGTAAAGGTAGGAACAGGGAGAACTTCTGTGACTTCAAGTGGTTCCCCCAAGAAGTCAGATTCGTCAACTGAGGTGGAAGAGAAGAAGGGTGTAGTTTCAAAAAAGGTGACATCAAAGGAGGTGTAGAAACGGTGTGTTTTAGGGCAATAACACTTAAAGCCTTTTTGGAGACGGGAATACCCAATGAACACACAATTTATTGCCTTGGCATCAAGTTTGTCACGTCCTGGAGAGCTATCATGGACAAAGCAAGTACTTCCAAAGATCCGTAACGGGAGTTTATAGAGAGGTTCCTGTGGAAGTAAAAGATTAAGAGGAATTTTCCCTTGCAACACAGAAGAAGGCATTCGATTTATTAGGTAGCAAGAGTGAAGTATAGCATCCCCCAAAATTTCTTAGGAACCTTGTGGTGAATGAGCAAGGTGCGAGCTGTGTCAACAAGATGTCGAATATTTCGTTCAGCAACACCATTTTGTTGAGGAGTCCTAGCACAAGAAGACTCATGCAATATCCCATGTGAGGAGAAGAAAGAAGTGAATGAGTCAGAAAAATACTCTTTAGCATTATCACTTCGTAAGACCTTTAGAGATACCCCAAACTGATTCACAATTTCATTGTAGAATTTTTTAAACACATCAAATAGTTCAAAACGATTTTTCATTAAGAAGACCCAACTGCATCGAGAGAAATCATCAATGAAAACAACGAAATATAGGAACCCCAAGGTAGTTGAAACACGACAAGGTCCCCAAACATCAGAATGAACTAAACAAAAAGGTTTATCAGCCCTCCTATTCATTTTACTAGGGTATGAGGCTCTTGAGTGTTTTCCAAGTTGACAAGACTCACATTCTATTTCCTTTAAATTGGACAAGCCAGGAACAAGTTGTCTTAATTTATTGATGTTAGGATGCCCAAGGCAACAATGGCTAAGAAAAGGTGAAACAGTAGCGGTGCAAGCTGTGTTGTTATTGGTAGACCTAGAAGATAGTACCTTGTTTAGATTGGGCCCTCGTGATTCATGTCCCGTACCAATCGTCTCCCTTGTCTGTCGGTCCTGAATAACCACAGAATTAGAAGAAAAAGTAACCAAGCAATTTAGAGAGTGAGTGAGACGATGGACTGAAATTAAATTGAAAGGACATCCGCGAATGTAAAGAACATTCAATAAAGAGAAAGAATGGATGGAAGCTTTCCCAATCCCCTTAGCTTTTCCTTTTGATCCATCACCAAAAGTAACATATGGGAGAGAATCCGAGAACTCAATTTGGGAGAAAAGAGAAGGGTTACCAGATATGTGATCGGTGGCTCCAGAGTCGAGGACCCAAACTAAGTTTGATTGTGAAGCAAGGGCAGTGTGAGAGATATCGGGAGAAATGGTTGTTTTGGCACCCTTTAATTGCAAGAATTTTGCATACTCAGCTTTTGAGATAACTTGTGTGCTTGAGTCCGCAGTATTTGGATTCCCAGATTGAGCTATATTAACCATAGTTGGTTTCCCATGGAGTTTCCAGCAAACCTCACGGGTGTGCCCTGGTTTGTTGCAAAAGTCACAAAAACGAGAGGAATTACGTCCTCCACCTCGGCCCCCTCGGTTACTTCCACGACCTCTTCCTCTATGATAGCTTTGAGTAGTAAGAGCAGAATGATCAACAATGGTTGAGGATGGTGTATTTTCTTTATAAATAGAAGAGACTTGAAGAAGTCTTTTGAACATTTCTTTGGTGTTTGGAACATTTCCATCACCAAGTATACCATTACGGACTTGCTCAAATTCTGGTTCAAGCTTGGCAAGGGTAAGGACAACAAAGAACTTGTCACGTTGAGTAAGTTGCTCTTCTGGTGATCACCAATAGGCATGAGCTTGTTAAATTCAGCCATAAGTCCTTGGATTTTTCCCAGAAATTTCTCCATTGACATCTCTGATTTTTTGATATTTAGTATCTCACTAACAATGAAATAAAAACGAGAGATATCATTTGTATAAAGGGATTGAGCTTGTTTCCATACTGAAAAACAGGTTTTAAATGGTCTAAACATAGGAATCAGGTCAGGGGCAAGAGACTGCCATAATAGACTGCAGAGTTGGGCATCAACTCTCTCCCAAATATCTCTTTCATGCTGAATTTGTTCTGCTATAGTAGTGAGATGGTCAACAACTCCTTGACCCATAAACCATAGTTCAACTGTTGATGCCCAATCTTGATAATTTTGGGAACCAATGAGTTTCTCACTGGTGATAGTTATGCTCCCTGAAAGATTTGGAACATAAACTCTAGGCTGAACAGGAAGGATAGTATTTTGGGTACTGTTTATGATTACCTCTTCTGCCATATTGATCAGAAAAATGTGAGAAAAACAGTGTAGGCAGTGAGCGGTTGCAGCACCAGTTATGCCAAAGGAGCTCTCAGGAAAAAAGGGAATATTTTAGAAGAAGTAGGCAGTGAGTGGTTGCTGTGAAGGAGAGAAGATTTTCAGGCCACAAGAGGGTGGCTTTGATACCATGTTGAAAAGGAAACTAAAAGGAACCTGAACATCTTCTTGTTATTCCATCTTACAAAGAACAACACATTACAGGACATTATATAGGAAGATAACAAGTATTGGGAAGGGACATAAAGGGTCTTCCCAAGGAAAAACTATTCCACTCCCAAAGACTTAAAAGCATAATAAATAACCCTGCAGAATAGGCTGCTCATATTCCAAGATAGGCTGCTCATATTCCAACAATAATTATCAAATCTTAAAAAAATTAAAAAAAAATTATTAAAAAAAAGGGTGCCTAGGCGCTAGGCGCCCCCTGGATGCCCGAGGAATGCCTAGCGATTTTTGTAACCTTGATTAAAGCGACTGCAAGGAAAAATTGGCATAATGCCTAACCTTTCAATTTCAAGAAAGGGAAAATGACACTTTTAGTCCCTTAGTTGTGGCCATAGTATAGATTTAGTTTGTTAGTTATTTGTGGTGTCGATTTAGTCCTTAAATTCTTAGTGAAGTGGCAGATTTGGTTACTTTAATTAGGGTTTTGTTAAAACTTAGGGACCAAATCCGCCACTTACTAAATCTACTCAACTACACTTGAGTGACTAAAAGTGTTATTTCCCCTTCAGAAAAAGAAAACTTATGAAGGGATCATTACCTAACTCTAGAAATTTGGACTCCTAGTAAACTTGAAGATAGACATATGCAGAATATTATGTTTTAGCTGGAAGATCAGATGTGTGGTTGACTGTAGGGAAAATGCATATTTCCTTTCATAATAAAACAACATGCCACTGTATCTGTCATCACTTTGAATCCAATTGTTGTATGCAGTATGTTGGCAGTATTTTATTTGATTCTGGGGTTCAATTGCTATACATAATTCAACTTTTCTGACAAAATGTGTATATTTTTTCTAAAGGGAAATTGCTTTGGAAGGATTAGGTCTTGATGAAGATCAAAGGAAGGCTGTTAGCCAAAATAGCAATTTGCATTACCCCAAACTTTCTGATATGCTAAACTATATAATTGCACAGCACCCAGCAGTTCTGCATTCCACTAGTGTTGGGGAGACAGCGCTTCTCTTTCCTTCTAAATCTTACATTGCTATGATCAAGTTTTTGTTGAAGTGCTTTGTGGCAGAAGAGGAAGAATATAATTTGCATTTGCCAGAAGATTTTGAATACTCATGTTCAGTGGACCGGTTCTGTCTGCTGCTAGAGCATGCAATGGCATATGAAGGCTCTGTTGAGCTGCACACTAATGCCTCTAAGGCATTAATAACAATTGCTTCCTCTATTCCCCAAGTAGGTTAATGGGTGCATAAACTTTACAATTGTAAAATGATGTTACAGATTCCCATCCTGTTTTCATTCTGAAATATATTTCATGCTCAACTTTAAGTATGCTTTAAATTGACAGGTGATAGCAACTCGCTATGCAGACAAAGTGTCTTGGTTGAAGAAATATCTGGGCCATATTGACTTTGATACACGTGAATCTATATCACGCTTACTTGGAATTGCTTCTTGTGCACTTCCTCTTGACACTTTATCTAACCTTGTTCAAGATTTGATATCCTCTGTTAGTGCAGCACCTAAGTTAAGGTTGTAGCAATTAAAAGCATATGGACTTTTAAGTTTTAACAATATTTCTGTATAGTCGGGGCAACAGTTTAAACTTATTACAAAGTTAAATGTCATCCCTTTCTAGGTTTGAGATGGAACATGGACTTCTATGTGCTCTGGGATATATTACTGCAAATTGCATGTCAAGAAAACCTTCTGTAAGTTCTGCAACCATTTTATTTTCAGTTCTACCAAATGAATGCACGTCTCTGTTACATGTAATCATATTCTTGATATTAAAAAATATGATATAGTTAAAGGCAGCATGACTTATTGTTTTTCTTGTGGGAAAAAGAAGGAAAGAAAACAGCTGTAGGACATGGTGTCTGGTAGATAATATCATGCCTTTATTCCTTGATGCTTGACATGAAACAATCAGTCTAGATAAAGTTTCTACAAATCCCAATTTCTATTAACTTGTGTTCTAGGTAACTAGAGTACTTGTCTCATCCATTAAGTGGTTAATGCAATCTGTTTTGGGTGATTACAAGATGTGTTCAGAGGATGAGATGGAAGCAGATAAAATTGATTGTTGGTTTAGGAGTTATTTATAAATTATCGTATTCACTTTTGAATGCTTTGGTAATACCAGATAGCATGGAGTCTTTTTTTTTATTTTTTTTTCCCCTTTCTTTTTTGCTATGCTTGAATGGTTGGAAATCAAGTTATACCTTTATGCTATATTATTTCCTGGTCTCATGTTGAGCTATTTAAGAAGAAAGAAACAGAAGATAATCATGTTAATGAACCCTTTTCATGGATAGAAACATACTTCTTTGGCAGCTTAATCTTTTTGTGTAAAAATAGAGCCTAGTGGTAGATCAGAAGATGTTGATATTCTAAGCTCCATGTACAACTGACCTTTTATATAGTTATGAATCTACTTGCTGCCTCTTTTGGTAATTTGAGGCTTACTTTGGGTTTAGGAAACTTTTCTCCTGTTGTTACCATTTGAGAGATTTAATGCTTTTGATCTAGAATTTCATTTGTTGACAAGTGCTTTTTATAGAGTTAGTCCCTACTTTTGAGTCCTATACGGCTATACATATCTTTTGTAGGAAGACATTTCCAAAATGTAACAATGATTATGCAAACTATGATATTCTCATATTCAGGTTACTCTGTTTCCACCCTTCTTTCTTGCAGATTCCTGAGTCATTGCTTCAAAGTGTACTTAAGTGTCTAACTGATGTTGTCAACTTGGAGACTCCTTCATTGGCTTCTATAGCAATGCAAGCACTAGGTCATGTTGGACTTTCTGTTCCACTGCCTCCATTGCTTCATGGATCCAATCCAGGTGTGCTGCTATGTATAATGTATCTTGAGAATGCATAAAGATAATAGATTTGGGATCCCTATTTTGGGATTATTTGGTTCATTAGTTTAGAGGCAAGGAATCGGAACGGAAGTCATAAATATGTTTGGTTGACCACTTTTGAATGGGATTCAATTTCCCTTGAAATTTAAAAAAAAAAAAAATCCATTAGCTATTTCGTTTTGGGATTCATTCCTTATCAGTTATCAAATGTTGACCAGTTGATTTGATTTTTTTACATCATGTATTCATGTTACGCCGAATAATGATGTTTATCTTTTACATTAGAGTTATGGAAATAAGACTATATGCGTAAAGATTTGTTGCTTTTGTTTTGTGTTTCTTTTTTTCTTTTTCTTTTTTATTCTTTTTTATTTTTTGGGTTTGTTTTGTTTTTAAAGATTAATTGCAGTAATGATTCCGATTCTAGCTTACTACCGAATATACAACATACTTTTACTAAAACCGATTCCAATTACTAAGTATTCATTTTTTTTATTTTTATTTTTTTTATTATTATTTCTGATTCCCATGTTTGAACCAAACACCCCCTTTGTTAACCTCAGGTTTTAATAGTAAACTCTAAATTGCAGTTGCCATATTGACCGTTTTGAATACAAAATTGATCAAGCTTCTTGCCGGTGATGATATTAAAGCTGTTCAACGGATTGTTATATCCTTGGGGCATCTATCTTTTAAGGAGAGTTCCTCTGCACATTTAAATAATGCCCTTGATCTGATTTTTAGCCTTTGCCACTCAAAGGTAGGTGAAATTATACATGTTCTCTCAGTAGATAGTTTTCTTTTCTTTGTGTTTTCAGCATTTTTTAGAAGATGCCTTTTCCTTTTTAGTTTTCTATTACTTCTCTTCAGCATTAATGAGATTTTTCTGGAAAAGAAAGGATTGGTGGAAATCTTTCAAGTATCTATCCTGAAGATTTTCCTTTGCATTTTTATTTTTATTTGCTTTCTTAAACTCCCTTTTCTCTCTCAAATGTGGAGAGAACCTTGTTTCTTCAACTATAAGTGCAGATGATAAGCACCATACTTCATGGAGACTGCTGCATAAATATAAAATATTAAATGCTTTATTTTTTTAGCCTCGTCTTTTCCTAATTTTTGAGTTGATCAGGTAGAAGATATCTTGTTTGCTGCTGGGGAAGCTCTTGCATTTTTATGGGGTGGTGTCCCTGTGACTGTTGATATGATTCTTAAAACGAACTATACTTCTCTTTCTACGAGTTCAAATTTTTTGATGGGAAATGTCTTTTCCTCGTTGCCAAGTTCTATCAATATGGACTATGACAAAAGTGATGATGTTCGTGATATTGTTAGAGATGCAATTACCAGAAAGCTCTTTGATGTTCTATTATACAGTAGCCGAAAGGAGGAGCGTTGTGCTGGAACTGTATGGCTACTATCACTGACAATATATTGTGGCCACCATCCAACTATCCAGAAACTGCTTCCAAACATCCAGGTTTATTGTTTTTTGTAATCTGAACTTTAATACCCTGCACTCTGACTTCCCACACTGTGCCACCATATTTATGTGTTGGTTTCTTCTTCTTCTTTTTATTTATTTATTTAAATAACATTCTTAAAAAGATGGAACTAGGACTTAAGCTACTTGTATATGCACTATCTGTAGTTTCTCAATCATGCATTGCTAAGAATTGTCTGAGACACTGCTTATACTGAATTCAGGAGGCGTTTTCACACCTTCTAGCAGAGCAGAATGAGCTCATACAGGAGCTGGCATCTCAAGGTCTTAGCATTGTATATGAGATTGGTGATGCTTCTATGAAGAAAAACTTAGTTGATGCTCTTGTTGGTACCTTAACTGGCTCGGGGAAGAGGAAAAGAGCAGTTAAGGTTGGTATCGTATTCTGTTTGTACTTATTTTTTTCATTTGTTTTTCCCCAGTGTAACTGAGGAGAATGTAGAGTGAACTTGAGACCTTCATATACATGATTGATTCACAGAATAAGCCTGTAATGAAATAGGATATCTTGGATCGAGCTATTCCCTTGCAAGGAGAATAGCCATTCCTAGCGGGGCCATGACATTAGCTATTTCTGAGTTCACAAATCACAAGAATACCTTTTTTCTTGTAGTGCATTAATTGCCCTCATTTAATTAATATCCAAATATATTTGTGTGTGCGCGCGCTATATGTATGTATGTATGTATGCATGTGTGTATACATACATACATGTGCGCGTATGCATGTATTTGTTTATATATTTAAATAATATAATATTTAGCATCTGGGTATTTTTGTCTTTTTTATGTTTATTTCATTTTTATTTCTTAAATCAATCAAACGCTAAAATACAATTCCTAAAGTTTATTCCTTTAGCTAACTAAACAATGGAATAGAATTCCTATTTTGTTCTTGGCCTATTCTATTCCCTATGCGCTATGGAATAGAATTTCTTTTCCCCCAAAATCCAATTTGTGAACCAAACTTGCTGATAGAGTCTCATGTCTAAGCCACTTGACTACAAGGTCCTTGGCATATGCTTGTTGTACTTAATGGACTCCGAGCTTCATTCTTTAACGTTAACTCTAATCGATAGACTTACTTTTGAGTTTTGACCACTTTCTTCTTTTTCCCTTTTTAGCTTGTTGAAGATTCTGAAGTGTTTCAAGAAGGTTTGATTGGTGAAAGTCCTACTGGCGGGAAGCTGAGTACTTACAAGGAACTTTGTAATTTGGCTAATGAGATGGGGCAGCCAGACTTGATCTACAAATTCATGGATTTAGCTAATTACCAATCCTCTATGCATTCTAAAAGAGGTGCTGCTTTTGGGTTTTCTAAGATAGCCAAATATGCAGGGGATGCTCTACAACCATACTTACGTTCTCTGATTCCAAGACTTTTTCGCTACCAATATGATCCTGATAAAAATGTGCAGGTATATGGTTATTCAAACCTTTTGGGAGCTCACATGCATTCTAAGACTGCCAAATGTCATAGTTGATTACTTATTCTCAAATCAATAATTTATATGTCATCTGATCAGGTTATTACTTGCTAGGAACCTTTGGCTCTACTTTATTTGCACCTCTGTCTCTATAGTCTATACCCTAAGTGCTGCTTTCTTTCTATTTATTTGTTTGTTTATTTATGTTTTTGGGGGAAGGGTGTGACAAGTATTGATGGGGTTACTAAGTTACTTTATCTCATAAGGCTCACTTTTTGTTTTACTTTAGGATGCAATGATGCACATCTGGAGATCGCTGGTTGCAGATTCAAAGAAGACTATTGACGAACATCTTGACCTTATTATTGAAGATCTTTTGGTCCAGTGTGGATCTAGACTTTGGCGTTCAAGGGAGGCTTCTTGTCTTGCACTTTCAGATATAATACAAGGGAGAAAATTTGATCAGGTTCTCATCTTGTTTTGCTATGTTGACAGGGAATTAAGTGGCAATTATCTTTTTGGTCATTCTTTAGAAAGGTGATAATTAGGATTGCTAGTGATCTACTAATGCACAAACATCTATAAAAAACCCACATATCATAAAGAAAGAAAACAGATTGGGGTACATGTTGAGGGTACTTGCAAATTGTGCTTGGGAGTAAGGAATTCTTAGGGATTTGTTAATAGGACTTAATAAATGCTTTGAATATGCTCGTGTCATGACAGTGTGGGGTGCATCTTTACTTTAACACTGGAAGTTGTCCTAGTAATGCCTCTGATTTTCTCAATACCGTTGCTAATGTAGCGAGATAATTCCTGCCTCATTGTTTTCCTTTATCCCTATTCAAATTCTTGTGTTGCCCATATAGACAACAGTTTTAACATTACAAAGATAACTTTAGAATTTTGTGTAGAAAACTAAAAAGGAAGAAGCTATGGACACTAACCTCGTTCCTTGTTTCTCTGTTTATTGTGTGTGTCCCTTGACTGCTTACAACCCAGATATATATACTACAACAATGGACAGTTTCACAGACTTTTCACCTCCTAGCCTATTTATTTCTATGCCTTTCATCTTCTATAACTGCTTATTTCTAACACTCCCCCTCAAGCTGGAGCATAGATATTAAGCATGCCCAGCTTGTTAGAAATATATTCAACTCTGTCCCTACTGAGCCCTTTAGTGAACAAATCAGCTAGTTGATCGCCACTACGAACATGAGCCATAGAAATTAAGCCTTGTTGAATCTTTTTACGCACAAAATGACAATCTACCTCAATATGCTTGGTACGCTCATGGAACACTGGATTATTTAAAATGTGTATAGCCGCTTGATTATCACACCATAAACGTATAGGCTTTACCACTTCCACACCAATCTCCTTCAACATATTGTGCACCCAAGTTATCTCACATGTGACATGAGTCATTGCCCTATACTCAGATTCCGCACTGGACCGAGCCACAACAGTTTGTTTCTTGCTTTTCCAAGAAACCAAATTACCTCCTACGAACACACAATATCCTGTTGTAGACTTCCTGTCGCTCAACGAACCTGCCCAATCAGCATCTGAAAAAGCCTCAACTCTCATATGTCCATGATCAGCATATAGAATGCCTTTATCGGGCGCATTCTTGAGATACTTTACAATTCGAACTGCTGCTTCCCAATGAGCTCGTGTAGGTACTTGCATGAATTGACTTACCACACTGACTGGAAAAGAAATGTCCGGACGCGTAATGGTGAGATAGTTCAACTTTCCCACCAACTTCCTATATCTTTCTAGAGAGTCAAAAGCCTCCCCCTCACCAGCCACAAGTCTAACACCCTGCTCCATAGGGGTCTCGCATGGTTTTGATCCCAACAACCCAGTATCATCAAGCAAATCTAACACATATTTCCTTTGGGAAAGAAATATCCCTCTCCGAGAGCGAGCAACTTCAATCCCTAGAAAATACTTCAATACTCCCAAATCTTTCGTGTGAAACTTTTCTTTGAGAAAAGATTTAAGAGCTTCAATTCCCACTGCATCACTACCTGTGGTTACTATATCATCAACATAAACAATCAAGAGAATGCACCCAACATTAGTGTGCTTGAAAAAGACAGTATGATCACACATACTCCTTTGCATACCAAACTCAATAATCACACTACTAAACCTCCCAAACCAAGCTCGTGGTGATTGCTTCAAGCCATATAGAGACTTCTTCAATTTACACACTCTCTCAGACTCCCCCTGAGCAACAAACCCAGGAGGTTGCTCCATGTAGACTTCCTCATCCAAATTACCATGCAAAAAGGCATTTTTGACATCTAGCTGATACAAAGGCCAATGTTTAGACGCAGCTAAGGAAATAAAGATACGTACTGAAGCTATCTTAGCGACAAGGGAGAATGTTTCTGTATAATCAACACCATAAGTCTGTGTATATCCCTTTGCCACTAAACGAGCTTTAAGTGTAGCCACAGACCCATCAGGATTCATTTTCACAACATAAACCCATTTGCAACCAACTGCCGTCTTACTGGCCGGGAGAGGTACCAAATCCCAAGTATGATTGTCTTCAAGAGCAACCATCTCTTCCTCCATTGCGTGTCTCCACCCATCATGAGCTATTGCTTGACTCAAAGTGTTTGGAACTGACACAGAATCTAAACGTGATACGAAGGTGCGAGATGATAGTGGCAAATGATCATAAGAAACAAGAGAGGAAATAGGGTTTTGACAACGACGTTTACCTTTACGAAGGGCAATGGGAAGATCCAGGTCATTTGACGAAGATTCTGGTAAGGGGGGAGTATCCACTTGCGGTTCAAGCAGTGCCACTGCATCTCTTGGCCGTCGAGTATAAACCTGTGTAATGGGGGGCCTGGAAACAGACTCGACTGGTATGGTAATAGTATATGTAAGGAAATCATTATCTGGAGTAGACCCATACCCAGACGATCCCACATCCCCAGAGAACACCATGTTTTCAAAGAAAGTAACATCAGCTGACACTAAATACCGTCCCAAGTTAGGTGAATAGCACCTATAACCCTTTTGAGTACGCGAGTACCCCAGGAATATACACTTATGTGATTTAGGATCAAGTTTCCTGCGTTGAGGACGAACATCCTGGACAAAACAAGTGCATCCAAATATTTTTGGTGGGAGATGAAAGAGAGGTTCTGTTAGATACACCAAAGAATAAGGAATTTGACCTTTAAGGACAGATGAAGGCATCCTGTTGATCAAAAAACACGCAATATGAACAGCATCAGACCAAAAAACCTTAGGCACCTTCATTTGAAACAAAAGTGCCCGAGCTACTTCTAACACATGACGGTTCTTTCTTTCTGCCACTCCATTTTGCTGAGGGGTATACGCACACGAGGACTGATGAACCATCCCATTTTGGCTCATATAAGTGGAAAAAGGTTTAGAGAAATACTCTTGTGCATTGTCACTTCGCACACACTTAATACTTTTATTAAACTGGGTTTTGATCTCAGCACAAAAATTACAAAAAATTGTAAACAACTCATCTTTAGATTTCATAAGATATAACCACGTACACCTAGAGAAGTCGTCTACAAATGTTACGAAATATCTAAACCCGTTCTTCCCTGTGACATGACAAGGACCCCAGACATCAGAATGAACAAGATCAAATATAGATTGTACTCTTTTATTGACACGAGGAGGATATGAAACCCGACAATGCTTAGCAAACTCACACGACTCACACTGCAAAGTAGACAATGACTCTAAACCAGGAAACAACTTCTTTAGGATCGACAGTGATGGATGACCATACCGACAGTGTAGTTGAAGAGGAGAGGTATCACTCAACATGGCCTTGGGCGGAGATACAGACTGTTCCAAAACATATAGTCCTCCGATTTCCTTCCCCTTACCAATAATCTTCTTCGTCAAAAGATCCTGAAATAAACAATAACCCGGGAAAAAGGAGATAAAACAATTCAAAGTCCGTGTGATTTGGCTAATGGAAAGCAAATTAAAGGGAAACTTTGGAAGATATAATATAGATGACAGAGGTAATGAGGAGGTTGCAACAACACTGCCTCGACCTAAAACTGGAACAGATGACCCATCCGCCAGAGTAACCATGGCCCCAGGGTTTGATGGAGAATATGGGGAAAAAATTTTAGAATTACCTGTCATATGGTCACTAGCTCCGGAGTCAATGACCCATTGTGTAGATGAAGAAGACACACATGCAACAGGATTACCTGTTTGGACAAAGGTGGCAAAAGAAGTCGGTTGATTGGATGGAAACTGGGGTGGAGACTGCATAAGAGAAGACCCCTTCAGTTGATTGAATGCTGCTAACTCCTCATTTGTCATAACCACCATATGTCCTTCAGGCCCAGTGGTTGTGTTAGCAAATCTTTGCTGTCTTGGTGGTTTAGGACATTGATTCTTGAAATGTCCTGGTTCTCCACAATTGAAACATACCCTTGGTCCTCCACGGCCCCTTCCTCCACGTCCTCGATGGCGACCACCTCCACCGTGACTATTGTACCCTTCATTAGTGTACCTCCCATGCGACACAAACGTACTTCCTTCGTTATTGCTGCCTTGTGATATAAAAACGTTTTTCTCGGGGGGTTCATCAGTACTTACTGATGCATTCTGTATCTGGGAGAATACTTGATCCAATGATCCTAACTCCTTGTTTCCCAGCAATTGTGACCTAAGAACCTCATACTCTTTGTCAAGTCCAGAAATCCAGCTAAAGGCAATTAATTGATCACGTTGTGCTTTCATTGTTTTTACATCAGTTGTAATAGGCATCGCAGTACATAAAGCTTCACTTAAACTTTTGAAATCATAATAGTAATCTCGTAGATCTCGACCCTTTTGATTAGGACGATAGACATCCTGGGACAACTGATACAGTTTCCTCAAATTACTTGACCCACTAAACCATTCAGACACTAGATCCCACACTGCTTTAACCGTGGTACAATGTTGCATTGATAAGATCACTTTCCTATCAATACAATTAATTACCCGCGATAACAAAGCTTTATCATCTGCCTCCCACTCCTTATTATCTGGAGGGCAATCTGTATCTAAATGGTCACCTTTACCCATTCCATCCAAATTAATTTTGACCAAAAATTTCCATTCAGCAAAATTAGACCCATCAGCAGCCAGAACTACATCAATTAATTTAGATGGAGTTGACACAACAGTAATATTTTTGTTTTCTGCCATATAATATACGTGCCCAGAAAAAAAAAAAAAAAACACAGCAATACTCCAAGTTCAAGCTGGATATGAAATTACCGCAGTACTGAACCACAGTACTGAATTTCCAGTATCCAATATTCAACAACACTCCAGAAGGCACAAAAAAGGCACACACTACTCCAAAAGGCAAAAGCAAACAATATTACCGCACAGCAGGTTTGTCTTCTCTCTCGCGAAGGATATGAAGTTGCTCGAAACCTCTTTCTCTCCACTCATACGGACTCTACACTTCACGGCGAGCCCACCGGTGTATCCGCCGTCAAAGATGGTCGCCGGAAAACCCTTCACGCGCCGGCGCGTTAGTCGGCGAGCAGTCTGTGACGGTGGCGCGTGGCTGCTCCGGTGACGTCGCGACTCGAGCTCCGGCGTCGTCCTCCCGTTCCGAGCAAAGCCCACTACTTCACTCTCACCCGCTCTGATACCATGTAGAAAACTAAAAAGGAAGAAGCTATGGACACTAACCTCGTTCCTTGTTTCTCTGTTTATTGTGTGTGTCCCTTGACTGCTTACAACCCAGATATATATACTACAACAATGGACAGTTTCACAGACTTTTCACCTCCTAGCCTATTTATTTCTATGCCTTTCATCTTCTATAACTGCTTATTTCTAACAGTTTTTAGTTCAAATTCTTTGTTGCCCATATAGAATTTTGCCCATTTTAGTCATTTTGAATCTGTTGTGACCATCCGCTTTCATAATTTGCATCCATGAGCAACAATTTGTCATTCAGATTTCATCTTTTGTAATGCTGTAGTACTGAATCTGACTACTTTGGAGGGAGACACATGAGGTTGTTTTGAGGAGATAACATCAAATGCTTATGTGTTGAAACACAATTGGTTAAGAAACTTCAATTTTGGTGGGGTATAGGATCCATAAAGAAATTGATGAGGTCATGAGCTTCATTGTAAATCTTTAGTTACACTTCTATAAGCACCCTCCATTTAAAAAAAATACTGCAGTGTATAATAACTCACGAACTTATGACATTTTAATATTGGTTTTTGAGCTCTAATGTTGGTTGTTATCTTATCTAGAGAATCTCAAGGTATACTTGTGATTTTTTCTATTATACTTTTTTTTTGGGTTGCATTTTTAAGGTTAAAACTTTCCTTTATTTATTATTTATTCATTATTTTTTTTGAAGGTTAAGAAGTATTTGAGAAGAATATGGAGTGCTGCTTTTCGTGCCATGGATGACATCAAGGAATCGGTACGGAATGCTGGTGATAGATTATGCCGTGCTGTCACTTCATTAACACAGAGATTATGCGATGTCTCTCTCACTGAGATCGTGGATGCAAAACTAGCAATGGATATTGTATTGCCCTTGTTGATTACAGAAGGTATAATGAGCAAAGTTGAAAACATTCGCAAGGCCTCCATTGGAGTGATTACAAAGCTAGCAAAGGTTAAGTAACTGTTAAAAAATGGCTACTGAGTAAACATCATATTTCTTATTCCTTAAAATTGTTTTTGGGGTCCCTTTTATTTCTGAATTAATTTATTCATTGCATATGTGAATCCTTCACATGGAAGTTGACAGCAGAACAAAATGAATAATTTTTATGCTATTTACATCTACTTTTTCTTGAGAAATTACTGATGGGAGAAAGAGCAATGTGATGTTTTGTCCATTTGAATTAATTCATTTAATTTGACTCCAACAGTCTTTAAGATGCCACTCAAGTAAGGATCCAAAGTTGTTTTCATTTTCATGCATTTTGCTACATTCATTTCCTATGTGTGCCACAGATACAAGATTCGAAGTACAACTGAATAACTACCTACACATGCATAGCCTGACCAGCTCTTACTTTTAAAGTAATCTATTAAATAGAGCACTGGCAATGGTTTGGCTCATATAAGAGATTGAAGGTTTCACTGTCATGGTGATTGTTGGTTTCGTTGTCAAATTTGGTGATTGATTTGTTTGAAAAAGTGTCATGAAAGTTCTTGTGTAACACAGAATATTGTACCAGATATTCCAGTTTAATATTGATGAACGTTGTTCAGGATTTACATGCAATTTACCTATATTCTGCATTTACTTAGGTGCACATCGACTTAGGTGCCTTTGGTGAGGGGCAGGCTGGGTAATATGAATTTCATGTTCTGTATTCCATATTTTTTCATGTTCTATTAAAATATTTCCATATATTCTCCTTCAGTAGGTGCTCAAACATTACGAGTTTACCACATTGTTCTGATAGATTGTATAATATTTGCAGAGTGCTGGTATCTCACTTCGCCCACATTTGCCTGACCTGGTTTATTGCATGCTGGAAAGCTTATCAAGCCTGGAAGACCAAGGACTGAACTATGTTGAGGTTTGGTGATTTTTCCGCAATCTGTGTGTTGCTATCATTTTTTGTTCTTATTTCAAATTTAGTTGGCGTGAGGATGTAAAATAGTTCATGTTGAATCACTAATTCACTATGACTTTATGTTTCAGAATTGTCTGTATCAATTAATTTCTTTCTGTATGCGTTTTCAGTTACATGCTGCAAATGTTGGAATACAAACACAGAAACTTGAAAACATACGCATATCAATAGCCAAAAGTTCTCCAATGTGGGAAACACTTGAGCGTTGTATAGATATTATTGATGCTCATTCATTGGAATTATTGATTCCTCGTGTTGCTCAGCTGGTTCGCATTGGTGTTGGCTTAAACACAAGGTATATTTTAAATATTATCAGTTTATGAATTTTATGTATGTTATATAGAGTATATCTGTATATGTCATAACAATTGTGTGTTTGTAGTTTTGTTGTTAAGTGACTGTTGGGGAATAGTTTCAAACCCTAGAATAACCCCTCTCTCAAAACTGGATTAAGGTATCTTACATCTTTTTTCCTCTGGTCTTGTGAGATGCTGGAGCTTTATGTGCTAGGCATGGCCTTTTAAATCTTATTTATTACACAGTTTTGCATAAATTGTTAGTCAGTTAAATTGTACCAGTTAGAAAGTGTGGTAACATGATAAGAGGTTGATCGAAACATACTTGATTTAAAGTTATTAGAAAGAAATGGTTTATAACAGATTTTTCATTTAATAATATTGAATGGAGAAATATAATCTTTGTAGCATATCCTGTTTAGGTTGGGTGGGGTTATGGCCTAGTTCAGTATATCACTGATAATCAATGACATTTGCCCGAGTGTTATCAGAAATCAGTGCATTTATCTATTCAATCAACAGTCACATGTATTTTGTTCTAAGCTCCAGTATGAGATATCTCTCATCCTCATTGAAAGATTGGATTATTTACTTTTAGGCTTATTACCTATATATTCTGACTACCATTTTATCTGATTTCTGCTTGCACATGTAGCACACTAGCACCACTAGCATGATATTTTTAGAGCAGTTTGTCTAAACTGATCCTATTCAAACTAAAACCTGAATAAAGATTATCACCATATAAAATGAATGATAGGTTCACAACTACTCTGTGATTCCATTCAAGCTATAACCCTAATAAAGATGGTCACTTCCAATCTGCAGGGTTGGTGTAGCGAGTTTCTTAAGCTTATTGGTTCAGAAAGTTGGTTCTGATATCAAGCCATTTATACCCACGCTACTGAAGCTCCTATTTCATGCAGTTAAGGACGAAAAAAGTGCTACTGCAAAACGTGGGTTTGCAAGTGCTTGTGCAACAGTACTGAAATATGCTACTCCTACTCTGGCCCAGAAATTAATTGAGGATACTGCTGCTTTGCAAAGTGGTGATAGAAGTGCTCAGATTTCATGTGCAATTCTTTTGAAAAGCTACTCATCCAATGCTACAGATATTTTGAGTGGATATAGTGCCGTAACTGTGCCTGTTATTTTTATTTCAAGGTCAAATTCAAGCACCTATTTCTTGCTTTAAGTCTACCATTTCTTGCTTTGAACTTTCTACTGCTATTGCATAATTTTTACTTTTAATCACTGTAACTCAAAGTATAGACGTTACCCCGTCCCCCACCATCCACCCCCCACCCCCCATATGATTGTAAGTGAACCTATCTATGTCTTTCTTGCAGTGTTGTAATATGCAATAGCTGTTATGTATTTTTCCAAACTAGATACATTGTTCTTATAATTTTGACTTCTGAATGCTACACATTTAAAGCCACTTGATACATTACTTTGCTACAGAAGCACCACTTTCACTGTTGCATTTGAAAAAATTCCAGTTGTAAACTTGATGCATTGATTTGTCTTAGTTTAGGTTTCATCACCCTAGAGTGTCTAACTCAGATATCCAGTTCTTGGTTTGGAAGGTCATATTCAGATTAATCTAGGAAGCAAACCTTATGAGCGATAGAAGCATAGTAAACTGAAGCTAAAATGTTTAATTCTTGACTGTTTACACTCCATGATAACCTACTAAATTCAAAGCTGAACAATTCTTTTTTTTTGAGAAATCTATAACGTGTCATAATCTAGGTAAATAGGTAATAGAGGAATATATTCTGATGTGGTTCAGATTGGTGACACAAGATTTCTCTCATTGTACAAAATGATAGTTAAGAATATGCACAGCAAGAATGAATCTTGTCAAAAGTAACTAGCTTTCTCAAATACCTTTGCAGTAAAACTAAAACATAATTTGCCAATACCTTTTTCTGTTTGTAATTGCTAATACCTTCTCTTTCTGTTTGTAATTATTTACCATGTTTTTGTTATTGATTAGAAAACCAGAATGATTTCTAACTTTATCCTCTCTTGTACTCTGAGGTTCCAACTTGCATGTCATGCTTACCAATATTTGTAAATGGAGCTGTGGAATTTTCTGCAGATTTGAGGATGATAAGACAGTTTCTGGTCTATATGAAGAAATGTGGGAAGAGAATATGAATAGTGAGCGAATAACTCTTCAACTCTATTTGGGTGAAATTGTGAATTTCGCAAGTGAAGGGATTATGTCATCCTCATGGTCAAGTAAAAGGAAGGTATTTGCTATTTTTTCCTGAATTTGCTATTTTGCTATTTTGTTTTTGTTTTTTGTTTTTGTTTTTTGTTTTTTGTTTTTTGTTTTTTTGTTTTTTGTTTTTTTAACTGATGTCGAATACTGGCTCTCCTGCAGGCAGCCCAGGCAATTAGTAAACTCTGTGAGGTCCTTGGTGACTCAGTGTCTTCACATCATCATGTGTTGCTCACGTCTCTTATGAAGGAAATTCCTGGCCGTTTATGGGAGGTATGATTCTGGGTGTTACTTTGTTAGTATGATTCTGGGTGTTACCTTGCTAGAAAACAAGTTGACTTGCCTTTGCATTAGATTTTTTTCCTTTTTATTTTTTTTGGGTGAACTTCATCACGTGATATATATTCTTTCCAATTGATGAAGTCAGTATTTTCATCCATTGAAGTGCTGCATGAATGAAATTAACTTACTAGTATGAATCAGTGGTATAATAAGAATTTAAGGTTCTAGTCAAGTATATTGCATAACATGTTTGAGCCAATGATGTATTTGATAGGTGTTGAAATTGAGGGATTGAAAGGCCTGGCAGGTAGAGAATAACAACCACTACCCGCCAGTTAGGCGGAAGCAAAATATATGAGAACCAAAGAAGAAGAATAGAGAATATATTGTAATGAAAGATTACAATAGATTGTATCTCCCTATGTGTCTACGTACCTCTATATATACTAAACTACATACTAAATTAACCCTAATAGGAATAGGAAACTAAGTCCACCCAACTATGAGTTTCCTAATATTCAATAAAGGTTTCCTAATATTCAACACTCCCCCTCAAGCTGGAACATCTGGAAGTTCTCAGCTTGGACAAAAAACAAGCACTCTACCCCACTCAAAATTACAAATGAAGATTAAATGCAGCTAGATGATGGATGGCTTCAAAAGAGATGCGCTATGTGTGCCCCTTCCTTGGGAATGAAGATGAATGCACCAAGAACGGAGCTGAACACAATCTTTGGGAATAAAGATGAACACACCAAGGACGAAGCTGAACACGATCTTGGGAATGAACACACCAAGGATGGAGTTGAACAAGAACTTGGGAATGAACACGCCAAGTACGAAGTTGAACATGATCCTCGGGAATGAAGATGAACGCACCAAGGATAGGGAATACCAGTGTTGGATGGCTTCGGAGGGACAATGCTATACACAACCATTGGGAATGAAAGCACCAGGGGCGAAGCTTGTCACGAACAAGCTTGGGAATGAAGGCACCAAGGATGAAGATTAACACGAACACCACCACAGAAACATAAGCACTCTAGGATTTACCATCAAAGTCTTCATTGAGAGCAGTAGAGGCGAAAGGGAGCAGCGAATAGTAAAGGATGCAGTAGAGCCCATAGTAATGAAGATAAACCCAAAGCAACAAGATGAAGATAACCAGGAAAACAAACTAAAATAAGTAAAATAGAACAGCGTTTGATTGTCGATAGTCACACTCCCCCTTACTTGAAACATGGGAAATAATCAAAGGTCTTTATAGTAGTGCTGAAACTGAAAACCCATGGGATAAGGCATACCGGAGATAAAGAAACAAAAACGGTTATACCAAAACACAAACACCATGGGGAGAAGTTCGGCAACAAACCCGAAGAAGCCTTCAAATTTCACCAAAAAGTCGAAAGAAGTGCAAAACAACAATCTTGAAAATCTCGCCGGAGGTAGCCTCACGCGCCATCGCATGGCGCCGGCGGCAGTGGATTCCATCGGTGTAAGAGGTGAGATAACTAAATCACCGGAGAAGAGATCTAGCCGGAAACAAATGGGGTCTCCGGCGACGGTGGCGGCGCGTCAGGGCGCGTGCGGCGGAGGATGGTGATGGGTTTTCAGGCGAAGGTTCGCGACGGGGTTCCAAGGGGTCCTGTGGTGAAAGATTTGGAGAACAACCACCAGACAGGTCGGAATAGGAGAAAACAGTCGTTGGTTCGCCGGAAAATAAGTGCTGTCGGAAATATTGGAAGAAAAATAGCCTAGGAAAGTAGGCTTTGATAACATGTTGAAATTGAGGGATTGAAAGGTCTGGCGGGTGGAGAATAGCTGTTGAATTTGGAAGATGGAATGGTCTGGCGGGTGGAGAATAACACCATCCGTCAGTTAGGCGGAAGCAATATGAAGAATCAAGACTAGGAAATGAATATAAGACTGAAATTATATTAGTCTTCCTTGTTTCTAATACAGAAACACAGTACATATATATACACAAACACATAACCGTAAATAACTACCCATAACTTACACCTATTCATAAACAGACACAACCCTATAGATAAAACTAACTCTTTATTTTCAACACTCCCCCTCAAGCTTGAACATCTGGAAGTTTCAAGCTTGGATTAAAACATACACTCTACCTTACTTTAAATTACAAATGAAGATTAAAAGCAGCTAGAGAATAACAGTGCTGGATGGCTTCGGAGGAACAATGCTATAAACAACCCTTGGGAATGAAGGCACCAGGGACGAAGCTTGTCACAAACTGACACGAACACCCTCACAGCAACATAAGCACTCTAGGATTTGCCAACAACAATCTTCATCACGAACGACAGAGCAAACCAATCTGAGCAGCAAATGGGAGGTAGTAGAGCCCACATGATTGTTGTATGAATACCGAGAAAACCTCATGATTGTTGTTTATACCTCTTATTATAGGATAAGTGAATAACAAAAGAAGCTTTCGGAAATAAACAAGGTGCTAAACATGAAAACCCTAGGGACTAAGTATGGTATACCGAATATAAAGAAACAAATACGGTAATACCAAAAACACCCCGGAAAGAGGTTTGGCAACAAACCCAAAAAGCCTTCAAACTTTCACCAAAAGGTCCAAGGGCAAAACAACAATTTGGAATTTTCACCGGAGAATACATCACAAGGAAAAATACACCACAGCAAAATCCACGCAGATGGGGTTGCGGGGTACGGGCAGGAGGTTTCTGGAGAATTTCGCCGGAAAATCACGTCGGAGGTGGGCTCCCGCGCCCGCGCGATTCCGAGAGTGATTGTGGTTGTAGATTTTGAAGCAAACCACCATAGATACGTCGGAATTCAAGAGGCAGTCTCAGGGCTACTATTTATGCCGGAAAATGTAAGGAAAATGCCCTAGGAAAGTGGCCCTGATACCATGTTGAATTTGGAAGATGGAATGGCCTGGCGGGTGGAGAATAATACCACCCGCCAGTTAGGCGGAAGCAATATGAAGAATCAAGACTAGGAAATGAATATAAGACTGAAATTATATTAGTCTTCCTTGTTTCTAATACAGAAACACAGTACATATATATACACAAAGACATAACCGTAAATAACTACCCATAACTTACACTTATTCATAAACAGACACAACCCTATAGATAAAACTAACTCTTTATTTTCAACAATAACAACCACCACCCGCCAGTTAGGCGGAAGCAAAATATATGAGAACCAAAGAAGAAGAAAGAGAGAATATATTATAATGAAAGATTACAATAGATTATATCTCCCGTGTCTACGTACCTCTATATATACTAAACTACATACTAAATTAACCCTAATAGGAATAGGAAACTTAGTCCACCCTACTAGGAGTTTCCTAATTGTTGAAGGAGTTTGGAGAATAAAGTATTGTCTTGTTATTTACACTCTGTCTACAAGCAAATACACAGTACCATATATATAGGTAGAAGATGGAATACTAATAAAGCCCTAGGGACACTAACAGACATAGCCCTAGGGATACTAACAGACATAGAAACTGAACAGTCTTTGGAAATAATAAAAGCATAATAATGAGTCTCAACATCCCCCCTCAAGCTGGAGCATGAATATCAAAAGCTCCAAGCTTGGTACACAAATATTCAACTCTGGGACCTCTTAAAGCTTTGGTGAAGATATCAGCCAACTGATCATTTGTACCCACGAATGAGGTAACGATTTCCCCGGATGTAATCTTTTTGCGAATAAAATGACAATCGACTTCGATGTGTTTTGTTCTCTCATGAAAGACAGGATTAGATGCAATATGCAAGGCTGCTTGATTGTCGCACATCAGTTTAATAGGCCCTTTCATGCAAAGATTTAATTCAGTCAAGAGATGCTTTAACCAGATTAGTTCACATGTTCCCAAGGCTATTGACCGATATTCTGCCTCTGCACTTGATCGAGCCACCACATTTTGCTTCTTACTTTTCCAAGATACTAGATTGCCACCGAGAAAAACACAGTATCCTGATGTTGACTTTCTATCCCAAGAGCACCCAGCCCAATCTGCATCAGTATAACCAACAATCTCTGTATTTCCACGATCCTTGTATAAAACACCGTTCCCGGGAGACTTCTTGATGTATCGTAGGATCCTAATGACAGCTTCCCAATGGCTATCACACGGAGAAGCCAAGAATTGACTCACAACGCTAACTGCAAAAGAGATGTCAGGGCGAGTGACGGTTAAGTACAACAATTTTCCAACCAATCTTCGATATCTTCCTGGATTTGAAAAGGGCTTCCCTTGTTCCGGTACAAGCTTAATGTTAGGATCCATGGGAGTATCAATAGGTCTGCAATCACTCATACCTGTTTCCTCTAATATGTCTAAAGCATATTTTCGTTGAGATATACAAATCCCTTGCTTTGACTGGGCAACTTCTATCCCTAAGAAGTATTTTAATTTTCCAAGGTCTTTTGTCTCAAAATGTTGGAAAAGATGTTGCTTTAGCTGGAGTATTCCTTCTGCATCATCTCCTGTGATAACAATATCATCGACATAAACAACAAGATAAACGCTCTTACCATGTCGATGCCGGTAGAATACAGAATGATCCACTTTGCTTTGGACTAACCCAAACTCTTGCAGAACTGTACTAAAACGTCCGAACCAGGCACGTGGAGACTGTTTCAATCCATAAAGAGAACGTTTTAATTTGCAAACCAAATCAGTCTCCCCCCCTTGAGCAACAAAACCCGGAGGTTGCTCCATATACACCTCTTCTTTTAGATCCCCATGTAAAAAGGCATTCTTGATGTCTAGCTGGTATAGAGGCCAATGATGGATGGCAGCAATAGACAGAAAGATTCTGATAGAAGAGATCTTGGCAACGGGTGAGAACGTATCAGTGTAATCAACGCCAAACACTTGAGTATACCCCTTGGCTACAAGTCGAGCTTTGAGTCTATCTATCTGTCCATCAGGCCCAACTTTGACATTATAAACCCAACGACAACCAACAACTGTTTTGCCAGGAGGTAATGGAACCAAGTCCCAAGTTCCCGAGGATTGCAAAGCAACCATTTCATCTACCATAGCTTGCTGCCAACCAGGATGGGAAAGAGCTTCCCTAACCGAATTAGGAACAGAAACAGATGATAAACTGGAGATGAAAGCATTGTAAACAGGGGAAAACCGGTGATAAGAGACAAAATTATATATAGGGTAGGGATTGCGAGTAGACCGGTTACCTACCCGACTAGCAATGGGCGGACTGGAGATTGGAGCAGGACCCGAATCCGAGGGAAGAGACCGCTCAGGAGATGAATCAGCAGGTTCAATGTCTGCAGCAGTAGTGGTTGGTGGTAATTTTGACCGAAGATGATAGGTGAACTGGAAAGGAGAAACAGTGTGGGTTTGTGATGGATTGGGAGGTAGGACAACAGGAGATATTGGTATTTCTGTCCCTCCTTCAAATGAGGGAACTGGTAGGACATCAGGAAAAGGATCCGCCACCCTTATAGAGTCAGATGAAAAGAACGGAGTGTACTCAAAGAAGGTAACATTTGGTGATACATAGAATCGCTGTGTCTCAGGACAATAACACCTGAACCCTTTTTGAACCCTAGAGTACCCCACAAAAATACATTTCAAAGACTTGGGTGACAGTTTATCACGACCAGGAGTAATATCCCGAACAAAGCAAGTGCAACCAAAAACCCTCAGCGGAAGCTTGTGTAATGGCTCTTGAGGAAACAATATGTTATAAGGTATTTTGCCATGTAGAACAGACGATGGCATACGGTTAATAAGGTAACATGAATGGAGGATAGCATCTCCCCAGAAATAAGAGGGAACCTTATAGTGAAGGAGCATAGTCCGAGCAGTTTCCACTAGATGCCTATTCTTTCGTTCAGACACACCATTCTGTTGTGGAGTATCTGGACAAGAAGACTCATGGAGAATACCTTCAGAGTCAAGAAGGGTAGACAAAGGGGTATTGAAATATTCCCTGGCATTATCACTTCGAAGAATTTTAATAGAGACTCCAAATTGATTCTTGATTTCATTATGAAATTTCTGAAAGATGTTGAATAGATCAGAACGTCGTTGCATTAGGAAAACCCAAGTACAACGCGAAAAGTCATCAATAAAAGTAACAAAATATTTAAAACCTAACACAGAAGTGACACGACAAGGACCCCAAATATCACTGTGAACTAAGGAAAAAGGGGATGAGGACACTTTATTAACCCGTTCAGGAAAGGAGGTTCTTGAATGTTTCCCAAATTGACAAGATTCACACTCTAGTGAAGACAGCTTTGAGAGACTCGGTTCAAGTTGTTGTAGTTTCTTCAAACTTGGATGACCTAGACGACAATGAGTAAGGGAAGGAGAAATAGTAGCACTACAGACAACGGAAGCAGGAGTGGATAGACGGTATAACCCTTTTGATTCATACCCCGAGCCAATCGTCTTCCCCGAACGACGGTCCTGTATAATAACCGAATCAGGAGAAAAGGTGACAAGACAATCAAGAGAATGAGTAAGTTGACGAATGGAAATCAAATTAAAAGGACAAGTAGGTATATGCAAGACTGATGACAAGGGTAAATCAGGAAGAGGTCTTGCTTTACCAACTCCTTTAGCAGAACATATGGATCCATTACCAAACACAATGGACGGAAGAGACTTAGAGTTTGTGAGATGTGTCAATAAGGAAGAATTACCACATATATGTTCGGAGGCACCTGAATCAAGGACCCATGGTCCGAGAGGTCCAGATTGAGAAACAAGGGCAGCATGAGTCTCTCCCGTATGAGCCAAAGGAGTGAAAACAGTAGCTTGGGCATTAGCCTTAAACCGTGCAAACTCTTCATATTCTGCAAGAGAGACATTTTTAGAACCTGATTCTTCTTGTTTGAGTTGAGCCACATTTGTAGGAGCAGGCAACGGTTTCCCGTGCAGTTTCCAACATCGGTCCCGTGTGTGTCCAGATCTATTGCAGTAATCACAGTATCTAGCATTTTTCTGCCCACTACGGTCTTTATTCCGGTTGCCCAGATTATTACCACGACTTCCTTGGATCACAAGAGCAGATTGTTCTGTAGTGGATGCAGAAGTTTCACCAGGAAAAGAGGCCACTTGAAGAAGGCGTTTGAACAACTCTTGGACCCCTGGCACACCTTTATCCCCAAGAATCTGGTTTCGAGTATTCTCAAACTTGGGGCCTAATTTAGTCAAAACCAGAACAACAAAAAACTTTTCACGTTGGGCAATCTGTTCATCAGGTGTCCCTCCAACGGGTAAAAGCTTATTAAACTCAGTTAATAAACTTTGAGTTTTCCCAAGAAAGGCTTCCATACTCATACCATCCTTCTTTAAATTAACCAAATTATCAACAACTGTGTAACATTGTGAAATATCATTAGTGTACAAGGATTTGGCTTGATTCCATACCTCAACACATGTTTTAAAAACTCTAAATAGTTGAATTAACTCAGGTGAAAGGGATTGCCATAGAAGACTACAAAGTTGTGCATCCACCCTTTTCCAAATTGCCTTCTCATTTTCTGGTACCTCAGTTTCTACCCCATGTTCCAAGTGGTCAATAACACCCTGGCCCATAAACCACATTTCAACGGCATCCGACCAAGAGTGGTAGTTTTGTGACCCACATAATTTTTCAGAGGTAATAACTGGATTTCCAGATAAATTAGGCACAAACACTGAGCGAGAAATAGCATTTTCAACATTGGTAGAAGTTTCCTCGGTTCCAGTTGAAGACATGGTTGATAAAAAGGAAGAATATTACCAGGAAAGCCAGAGGAGGGTCGAAAATGGAACTGGAAAATTTCGCCGGAAAAAAAATTGCCGGAGGAGGTCTCACGCGCCGGCGCGTGGAGGCGCGTGACGGCGGGAGGCAGCGCGTAAGGTGGCGCGTGAGGGCGCGTGCAACGGCGGTTTGCGACGGGACTTCCACGGCGGGGGTCGCCTGCACTTCCAGACCGGCGGTGGTTCTTCGGAACTTTATGAAAACTTGCGATGAGGGGTTTTCGAAGAGGAAGCGTAGACAGACCCTGCACTGCTACTGTTCATCCTCGAAAATACTGTTCATGCTCGGAAATAAAAAGGGATTCAGGCCAATGGTGGCTCTGATACCATGTTGAAGGAGTTTGGAGAATAAAGTATTGTCTTGTTATTTACACTCTGTCTACAAGCAAATACACAGTACCATATATATAGGTAGAAGATGGAATACTAATAGAGCCCTAGGGACACTAACAGACATAGCCCTAGGGATACTAATAGACATAGAAACTGAACAGTCTTTGGAAATAATAAAAGCATAATAATGAGTCTCAACACTAATATTCAATAAAAGTTTCCTAATATTCAACAATGGGTAAAATATCTGTTTTCATGGAAAGTTCTTAGTAAACTTCTATCTCGCTGTCTAAGCTATTTAACGTTTCCCTGTTTGGGTTTTATATATATATATATATATATATATATATATATATATATATATATATATATATATTTCTGATAAAGCTACTAGTAAAAGAAAAGTTTCAGATAAAATCATAAAATATAAGTAAAAAACAAGTGGCTTTGGCCACCATCGTGTTGATCTGTTGATGCAATATCAGCTTTTTTTGGAACTAATGTTTGAGCGGGGGTAATGCCAGTGCTGAAACCTTTGTTGTGGTAGTACTTGTTTTTGTTCTTGTGGATAGGGGGGCTTTATAGAGAAGGAAAGATAGAATAGTCATTTCCCATTTGACAACCAAAGGGAACCAATCAAAAAGCATACTAGCAGCATGTGTGGAATTATTGCATAGCGAATTTTGTGGTACTTCTTAATAAATGATATCACCTTGTAATTTTCTAGTTTCGTAGTTTTGATGCTTCAGATGAACAATAGATTGGTCTATGCTTGTTCTTAGGATATTCCATTTCTTCTGTTTAACCTGATAAAATTCTTGCATTTTTTTGGCAGGGTAAAGAGGCCTTACTGTATGCATTATCTTCTCTTTGTAAATCATGCCATGAAGCAATTTCTGCTGCTGATCCTGACACACCAACTGCCATTTTGAATCTTTTATCTTCTGCATGTACTAGAAAAGCAAGCAAGTATCGTGAAGCTGCCTTTGACTGTCTTGAGCAGGTAAACTGTCACCAGCTTTGATCAAATTCAAATACTGCTTAAATTACATACTTAAAAGAATAGAACAGTGAAAAGTAATATGGAGTAAAGAAAGAAGATAATAGCAGGTGTAGGAATTACTTGCCAAAAAAAAGAGCAGATATGGAGTTACTCATAGACTCCCAAGGCAAGAATTTTGTTGAATGAACTTCTATATGTTAAGATGGCTAATGGCTAATAATACTTTTTGGTTTTAAATGTTTAGGAGTGATCCCTGATTTTATCCAAAGTATCAAAACGGTTAAATATAAGGAAACCTTTGTTTGAAGATTAGGATTTAGGAAACCTTTGCTGTCTTAGTTTCCTATTCCTATTAGGACTAATTTTTAGTATATAGTTTAGTATTCTTATAAATTAAGATTGGGCTAGGCTCACTCAACTGGGCTATAATGCACATGGGCCAAACCACACTAAAAGATTGAATTCAACCAATTAGCTAGTCTAACCCATGGACTTATAAACCCATATGCTCTCACTTATTTTACGAATGTGGGACACTCTTAAGAGGTATATATAGAGGATACACATAGGAGATACAATCTATTGTAATCTTTCATTACAATATATTCCCTTGTTCTTTGGTTTCTCACATATTTTGCTTCCGCCTAACTGGCGGGTGGTGCTTATTCTCCACCTGCCAGGCCTTTCAAATTTCAATCCCTCAATTTCAACAAAAATTAAACCAAGCATAAGGTTTAGAGTGATTGTCAATCTTACCCCTTGTACTGAATGAGCTCTTATATAGACACTAATGTTAAAAAGGGGGTTTAGATGTGGGGGCTGTTCTTGTTTTACCCAAGGATTTTGAAATAGCCCCCTCCCATTTGTCTTTCTCCCCAATAACCCTGATTGCAAAAATTGCTTTCCTTGGATTATTTTGGGTACAGAATCAGAACATGCTTTGATTCAATGTTTCCTTGTGTTTTGCATGTTGCAACTAGTAAAACTGGGAAGAACGTCTTCTACCTAAGTTACACATTCCCATATTCATATTTGTGCTGAGCACGTTGTTGGCATTGTGTTCCACAAAGGTCAAATGATATAAGAATCACACAAGTTAGTGATGAGCACTCATTTTGGAGTGGAAATGTATTAAATAAGTTGTAGATAATTTTCAGTTTTTCACCAAGGAATTATAAGGGGAAACATTACTTGAGCAAAGAGGAAATATGAATTACAACCTTTTCTAGTTGAAGGAACATTAAATTGAGGAGATAAATTACTACTTTCTCAAACTGAAAGAACATACAAAGTAAATTGATATTTCTATTGATAGTAATTGGTATCTTTATCAATACCTACCTTATCGGTTATAGGCCTTCAATAGTAATTTATATTCTTTAGGGCTTATCAATATGGATCATCTCCTGCCATTTGGTCCTATGTGAATAAATGTATTCTGGATTGTTGTTCTGTTATTTGGTCTTATGCTAATAATGATGATACACTTCCATCAGATTAAAGCAAACTACTGCCTCATTTCATCTACCAGGAAATAAGTGGTTGTAGTTCTTGTTTGCTAATTGTTAAGGAATATATATTTGATATATAGAATCTCTATATATTAGGCAGTTTAGGGTTTTAGGTAGGTAGGACATATGGAAACTTGTTTCCTATTCGTAGTTTTCTAGTACCTATTTATAGGGCTTTGTATTTTCTATTCCTATGAGAGTTTGATATAATATATGACAGCACATTAGAAATTCTCTCTCTTTACTTTCGTAACATGGTATCTGAGCCTTTACGATAATTTTTTTTTTTTTTCCGCTCCGTTGTCGTCACGTTTTGACTAGCGCGTGAGCCTCACGTGCTGCCCGGCACGTGAGGCTCCTCCAACGATTGAAAAACGTTTTGGTCAACTTGTTTCTGGGTCGCCTAAGTCTGTTTGTCTTGGTTCTGGACTTAGTTTGGACCATTGCCTTTTGTTCTACGGTCAGTTTGTCTCGTTTTGGTGCTGTCTTGTTTTGTGTTTTAGTACTGTCTCGTTTTGTGTTTTGGTGTTGTCTCTTTTTTTATGCTCGTTGATTGGAGCATGCTTCCCTTTTGTTAGTCAAGATACTTCCCTTTTGCTAGTAAAGAATTTGTGTCCTCCGGTTTGGAGTTTGTCTTCTTTACTTTGTGTGTCCAAGCTTGTTCGGTCCACTTTTGGTTCACCCGGAGTTGCGGTATTGGTGGAGTCCAAGCTTCCTGTTCAGGGGATGGTCCAATCCCAAGCTTGTTCGGTCTACCACGTTGAGTTCACCCAACTGTCCGTAGGTATTGGTGGCGTTCACAGCTTTCGTTTCAGGGGGAGTATCCAATTTCAAGCTTGTTCGGTCACTTTGTGTTCACCCATTGTTCGTGGGATTCGTGGCGTTCGAAGCTTTCGTTGGAGGGGGAGTATGAGTATCCAATCTCAAGCTTGTTCGGTCTTCGGTCAAAGGAGTGTCCTAAATGGACTTGAGTTATTAGTTATTTAGTTATTTTGGGTTATTACTCATTTGTGTAACAAGTTGGGCATTATTAAAATATATGCTCCAACTTGAGGGGGAGTGTTAAGGAATATATATTTGATATATAGAATCTCTATATATTAGGCAGTTTAGGGTTTTAGGTAGGTAGGACATATGGAAACTTGTTTCCTATTCGTAGTTTTCTAGTACCTATTTATAGGGCTTTGTATTTTCTATTCCTATGAGAGTTTGATATAATATATGATAGCACATTAGAAATTCTCTCTCTTTACTTTCGTAACACTAATATTACTTCTGGATTAGATTAACTGTGCTTTTAATAGGTGATTAGTAAAGTGGTTTGAGTACATTAACTGTAGCATGATTTTAAATAGGCAATAAATGAAGTGGCTGGAGTACATTCTTTTCTGTTTTAGTATAATTACTTAGCATAGGATTCTGACTTTCTGTTTTGTTATTTACCTTTGGAACTTTCGTCATTCTGTGTTAGTTATTGATGCAATTTCACCATCTGATATTATTGTTAGGTTATTAAAGCATTTGGTATTCTAGACTTCTTCAGCAAGGTTTTCCCCTTATTACATGAAATGTGCTGCTCCACAACTTCAACTGGTGATGTTAAACCAGGTATTTACTTTAGCTACTATGTTAACTTCTAATACAAGTAGGGGTCTAATAGGAAAACTATGAAATCTAATTAACACTTTCCAAACAATGACAAAACTTGTTGAGAATTAAAAAATAACACCTTAATCTGACCCTAGGGGAGTAGGTATAATAATATGTGCCCTGAGCTTGATCCATGATAGATGAAGATTTGCTTTACTGCATATGGAGTTTGTATCACAGATTTTCTACCTCTATTTTGACCTAAAAGTAATTCTTACTGATCTGAAGTTCTAACCTTTAAATGTCTAATTATATCAAATCACACATACAAGTATATAATTTTATGCTTTCTCTAACTTAGGTGTTTAATCTGGTCATTGATGAAGGACAATTTACTTATGACCTGCACTATAGGCTCCTTTCCTATTTTACCATCAGGAAGTCTTATTGTTGCATGTTGGCATGATGCATGTACATTAAATGACGCTGAAAATGACTATAATTCAGAGCTCATGACTTAGATTGCTTTTTAAATTTGTGGTTTAGATCTAGTGACATTACGGCATCTTAGGAATATGGATGCACACACAACTTAATTTTCAAAACTTTCCATTAACATATGTATGTAGACAGATGTGAAAATTGAGCAACTGTTTGTGACAAATCAGACAATGGATTTACATATGTTATATGTAATTCACTTCTTTTGGATGTATTGGCTGAAACAGGGATATTGACTAAGTTTATATTGCACTCAAAAATTCAGTTGACCTTCCCTTGCTTGAAATTTTATATGTTGTGCTTGATTTGATTAACAAATCCATATACAGAATACTGGAATTAAAAGCATTCTGCACTAAACAAGCTGTTAGAAGTTGTTTTTCCATTGTCCTCTAAACTTTTCCGTTTTTTTACTTTTTCTTGTTCATATGCTAGAAGCTATTTTCTGCTTGTGGACTTGTGGCACATCTGGTTTCCTTTTCAATAGAAGTTCTATAGTTAGCTCTATTCCTTAGTTGTGCTTCTATAGTCAAGTTTTTAAATATAAAATCATTTCATTAATTATCAGTAGTGCATACTTTTGCAATACATGGAAGCACTTTTACACTTTATTGATGCATAGATGAATTGACAATATTTGACATCCTCTCTATTAATACATGGAAGCACTTTTACACTTTATTAATGCATAGATGAATTGACAATATTTGACATCCTCTCTGATAATAGAGGTAGGTTGCACGTAGCTTCTTTCCCCAAACTGCAAACATGTGAGTTTTGTGTTCTGGCTTTTTGTTATTGCATTTGCATCCTATGCTGTTATTTATCAGCAATAGCATCATGTGTGTTAGACACTTAGACTTGGTTCCTGGGATCAATCTAATTCCTTTTGGCCTATTAGTCTCAGTAAGGCTTTGCTGATGTTCAATTTGGCTATAGTGTGATCTGGTTTGAATGCCCCAAGACTCCCAAGAGGTTTTAGGCCTAAATGATTGGCGTTGTTGAAGTAACACAGGTCCCCATTCCTAGGAGTATGTAAGAAGTTTACTTTCTTGTAGTTGGTTTAATCGCTACATTTTTGCAGATGAGGAAGAAAATTGGTCCACAGGACATGATAAAATTGTGAATTGCATTACTGCTGCCATACATGTAGCAAGGTTGAATGATATCCTTGAACAGCAGAAGAAGTTGTTAAATGTTTTCTCAATTTCACTTTCAGCTAGTGTTCCATGGATAGGTAACTGTCAAATCAAATGATGCTCATCTCTTCTTCTCACGTGAGTCATTCTTTTTCTTGCAATAATGCACTGTGTTTTGGACAGTTAAAATCTCAGTTTTCACATCAATTAAAGAGCTATGTTCAAGGCTTCGGGATGCAATTAACAACGCCCAAGATTCTTCTCTTCAAGAAAGCATTATCTCTTTTGTTCATGAGGTGATTTAGAGTTCATGGTTTTGTTTATTATCCTAAAAATTATTTGTGATCTTGGAGTTCTAAGTTACTCTTCTGCTAAATAACAGTTGTTCTTCGAGACATCTTCCAAAGTGCTAGAGTGTATACGAACAATTAAAATAGCCCAGGTATATCTAGTCTTCTTCATCCATTCTTTATCTTACCAAATTACAATTTGCATTTTGTCAACCTAGTATCGTCAATGCCTTGCTCAATTAAGTTTGTCGCCAAACATTCACTATATTTTTGACAGTATGATTCAGGATGGCACTACACAGTTGTTGGATACTTTTATTTATTTGAGGAAAATATTTGAGGAGGAATGGAATTGAAATTTCATAGAAAAGAAATTACCAGGAAAATTAATTACATTGTTTGGTTGGTGAAAAAGAAATTATTGGGAAATAATAATAATAATAATAACAACAACAATAATAATAATAATAATAATAATAATAATAATAAGAAGAAGAAGAAGAAGAAGAAGAAGAAAATGAATAAGGGTGATATAGGTGGTATGCCATCGAAGTTCACACACGATAATGCAATTGTAATTTTTTTAGGTACACTGACCTAATTGCATTCTCGTGTTCAATTAGATGGCCTATTTGACCGTTATTCCATAAGGAAAAAAAAAAAAAAAAAAAAAAAAAAAAAAAGAAGAAGAAGAAGAAGAAGGAGAAGACATTTTTCCTCATTCTTGAGGAAAACATTTTTCATTCAACATTTTCCAATGAAAAATGTTTTCCATGAACCAAACATAGAAAACTCTAATTTTCAAAGCTGTGAATTTAGCCAATCACACAAATATTCTGGTCTATAACTACATACTTGCTATGTCGTTTGTATGCATGTATATGATATGTTCTTCCATTAATCGACTCATCACTTTTACCGTTGTATAAACACAGGTCCATATATCTGCATCGGAGTGTCTTTTTGAAATCATAGATCTGCTAGCGGGAGCTCCAGCGGTGCAGCTGAGAGAAGTTGGATTTAGGTCTGAGCTTTTGCAAGTGGCTGAAATGGAAAAAAATGAGCAGGCAAAGTCTACGTTGAAGAAATGTATTGATATCCTAAAAACTCTGGAAGAAAATGGTAGGATATCCGGTTGAAAGCTTTGAAAGTTTGATGCCCATTCAGCTACACAGATCACTAATTGGTAAAATTTCCATTAAAAATATCTGAAATGCCGATATTGTGCCATGAGATCTTATATGTAGCTGCACATGCACTAGGTAAAACGTTTGATCTAGACAGTGACACTCCAGTGATTTTATATTCATGCTTTGTAAGGATTAAAAGAGGTAGTTAATCAATATATGCTTTTGTTTTTTTCGAGTGACTAGGGAAACATACGGTCATTATTCGAGGGTGTGTATTGAATAAATCAGGCATTGTGTCCCTAGTTGGTAAGTGACCAAAAAAAGGTAAACCAACTTAGGATATCTATAGTTAACTCGCTTGGCTCAAATCAGGAAAGTCAAAAGGATGTTCTCGGCTGGGGTTGAACTTGTAATTTTTATAGTTACCAGTTAAACAGTCTCATCAACTTGGTTGGGGTTGTCCCAATATTTTTTAATGAATATGAGAGTGTGTGTATTTTTTATTTTATTTTATTTTATTTTTTTGGAAAAATGTACAAATAGATCATTGAACTATTTGAGTATATCAAGTAAGTTATCGAACTTGAATAAGCTCCGAATTTGTCTATGAATCTAGAAAAAAAGAGTAATTAGCATTTGTAGCAAGTTACTACATGTTTGCATTGATTAGGGTGTCGTGTATATTTTATTTTATATTTTATTATTATTATTATTCTACTAAGCATTTGACACTCTTCCTAGATGCAATGTTTTCTTGATTTTATTTCTTGACGTGTTGTTTACTGTATTTAAAAATAATTTTTAAATTTTATTTTAATAATAATAATTTTAAATAAAATAATTATTTTGAAAAAAAAAAAAAAAAAAAAAACTTCCATGACTGGCTGGAGACGAAGGGGACCTTTTGTCTCTGGCCAGCCAGTCATGGAGATGAAGGGGATTGTCTCCATGGTTGGCCAGAGACGAGGCGGTCCTCGCATCGTCTCCGGGCAGCCAGCCATGGAGACGAATGATCCCACGATGGGCCGGCCATGGAGATGAAGGGATCCCCTTCGTCTTTGCCCAGACTTTTTTTTTTTAATTTTAAAATAATTATTTTATATTTTATTTAGAATTATTAAAATAAAATTTTAAAAATTATTTTTAAATATAGTAATTGACACGTCTGGAAATAAAATTAGGAGAACATGACATTCAAGAATAGGGTCAAATGCTTAGTAGGATAATAATAATAACAATAAAATATAAAATATATACATAATGTCACAATCAGTGCAAATTTGTTGTTAAAAATACTTGTTGCTCTTTTTTTTCTGGGTTCAGGGATGAATGTGGAGCTTATTTGAGTTCGGTGGCTTAGTTGCTATCTTCCAAATAGTTCAGTGGTCTATTTGTAGTTTTTTGTTTTTGTTTTTTTTGTTTTTGTTTTTGTTTTTTTTGTTTTTTGTTTTTGTTTTTTGTTTTTTTTTTTTTTTTTTTTTGTTTTTTTTTTTTTTTTTTTGTTTTTTGCACAATCACTATCCAAAAGTGTGCACGGGGTAAACTCCGTCTTGTGTCGCTATCTGACAAAGGATTGAATCAACTTAGGTTATTCATAGCTAATTGACCTGATTCAAATCAGAATGCCAATATGATATTCTTGTTGAGTTAAACTTGTAACTTTATAGTTATCAACTTAACATCCTAACTAACTTGGCTAGATATATGCTTCTGTTTTAAATGATATTATAAGATAAGATGCTTTGATAAGAATATATAACAAATTAACAGCGCTTCAAAATTCAAACTTTATAAAATTAGATCCATGTCAGGGTCTCATCATAAATTGTGTTTTAAATATTTTCATATTTGTTTTGGGTTCACAATAATTGCTTAATTAACTTATATAGGCAAATTTTTATGTGGACCTGGTTCACACAACTCTATGTAGATCATAAAAAAGTACATTTTTAATATATCAAAAGGACATTTTACAAATATTGAATATACATTATATAAAATAATGTACTTTTAGTACTCAAATAATATATTTTTCATAAATATAAGATACATTTTTAATATACTAAAAATATATTATTTGTGTACTAAATATATATTATTTAATAGTATACAAAATAATGTATTTTCAGTATTTAAATAAGATAGTTTCAAATAATGTACTTTATGTACACAAATAATGTATTTTCTCAGTTGTCCATGGAATAATGATTGGATCAAATAGTGTCCGTATCTGGATAAATAATGTATTTTCTTTTTATTTGTGGTCCACACAGTTGTTCATAGAATAATGATTGGATCAAATAAAATAGACAAATTATTGTGTGGACCATGGTTCACATAGCTGTGTGGACCATGAATGCAATATATTTTTTTAATATATTAAAAATACATTATTTGTACTGAATGTACATTATTTGATAATATATAAAAAAATCATGTACTTTCAAATAATGTAGTTTATGTATACAAATAATGTACTTTTAGTATATTAAAAATGTGCTTTTTATTTATGGTTCACACAAATGTGTGAACCATGGTCCATGGAATAATGATTGAATAAAATGTTGCCCATATCTGGACTTTGTTGGTCCCGCTGTCCCGGTGAGATTTAGGGTACAAGTCTAGAAGGGGAGGGGAGGGGAGGGGGAGTAGACTTGTTGAGTTTTGAAATCATTTCAAAAGGTTAAAGCAATTGAGAGATGACTTTAACTTCTCGTTCAGGCACAACAGAAATTTGTTAACCCTTTTGAGATTCTTTGCACGTCGTTTTAACTTTTAATCTTGTCAAATTTTATGTTTGGTGAAAGTTAGTTGATAATGCAATAAATAATTTAAAGAGTGAGAGAGATTTTTATCGTGGTTTGGCTATAACCATCCTACTCCACTCTTCTCCTTAAACCCTACGGAGGTTTGCATTGTCTCCGATACAAAATCCCCAGACGTTCACGCTTTGAACACCAAGCTAGCCGTGAACTCCACAACCAAGTTTTTCAACTCTTGACCGAGTTTACTCGGCCTGTTTCTACTACTACCGAGTAGAGATTACAAAGTTGAAGAAAATGTTTTTCTTCTTCTCCTAGTAGAGACTTGGCTCTTGAATCTTGATCTTGATGTTTTGAGCAGCACAAGTCTCTGTAATTAATCCGGATATAAATCTTTTTCGCTTTTGTCTCTCTTTCACTTGAACACTGGTTGCTAAATGAACACTTGAAAGCTTTTAGCACTTAAGAATTTTGAAATGACCATTAGCTTCTTCAGACTTGGAAGATGGTATTTATAGGCATGTTGAAATGATTATGTTGGAGGAAAGAACAAATTTCAAACACCTATGGATCAACGCGTAGAGACCAACGAGCAATTCGAAGGGTAGGAGAGCGTGTCAGGGCATCTTCTTTAGACTTAATTTGCGCTGAACATTGGTTTTTGTTCTGCACAAAATGTCGGGCATTTAAAGGAAAATATCTACCTTGGGATGTGTTCCTAGGATTCACTTTACCTTGTACACATTTGCTCATCTTTGTAAGGTGTCAGACTGTACAGCTCAAAGAATGTCTTGAGCAGACTTTTCGAGTGGTTAACTAGGTTAACGCCTCGAACCTTAGATCATCTCGAATATGAATGGTTGACCTTACCACTCGTTTCTTTTACATACCGCTCGAAAGGTAGGTTCTTCCTACTCTTTGACCCTTGTGACTTTTCGGTTACGAATGGTTGACTTTACTATTCGTTCTTGCAACACTTCGAAGGGTAGACCCTTACACCTTGTTAGAACTTTAGTATTATTGGTTCTTATATAATTTTTAAGTTTTCAATACAATAAAATGGTGAATCATACCAAGATTATGTGGTCTAATGGTATTCGGGTTGGACTTTCATTTGGAAGGTTGTGAGTTCAAGCCTTAGTGGAGGCGTTATTGTAAAATATACATATATACCCTATACTTCAAAAAGGGCTAATACATTTAATTTAATTTGATTTCTCCCTCCACTACTATATATAATATGCACAAAACTGGGCGGGAAGTTAATCTATTCCCTCTGATCTCCATCTTTTAATTAATTTCATTTCATGCCGAAACAAACACATCTCTCCGTTTCTTAGGATTGCCGGCAACATCCGGATCGCTTTTCCTCATCATCGCTGCAAACTCATCGTAGTTTATATGCCCATCCTGCACAAACCAATCAACCCCCATTTCATTATATTCAATATACTATATATACCTTACCTTCATTATAAATTAACTATTACAATTAATTACTTACATTATCTGCATCAACATCGGAAATGATTTCTTTTATATCATTATCGTCACTCATACCAAAATCTCGTAACGCCTGCTCCAGTTCGTCTCTTGTAATGAATCTGATTATATATATATATATATATAATGGACAATTATTATTATTAAATTAAAAGAGTTAATATCACATGAAATCCTCCGAATATAGTGATTTTTGTCAGGTTTAATCCTAAACTTTCAAATTGATCATATGTGATCCTTCGAATTTAAATTTGACGATCCAAGTTAACTAGCCATGGTCCTAAGTTGCGGAAGGAGGTGGGTACGAGGTGCCTATGTTGCGGCAGGAGGTGCCCAGCATGTGCCTAGGTTGCGGACGGAGGTGGGTACGAGGTGCATGCCTATGTTGCGGAAGGAGGTGCCTTAAGTTGCGGAGGGAGGTGCCTATGTTGCAGAAGGAGGTGGGTACGAGGTGCCTAATTAGTTGCGGATGGAGGTGGGTACGAGGTGCCTAAGTTGCGGACGGAGGTGGGTACGATGTGCCTATGTTGCGGACGGAGGTGGGTACGAGGTGCCTAAGTTGTGGACGGAGGTGGGTACGATGTGCCTATGTTGCGGAAGGAGGTGCCTAGCAGGTGTCTAAGTTGAGGACGGATGCGGCACGATAGTGCCTAACTTGCGGACGAATGCGGCACAATGGTGCCTAAGTTGCGGACGGACCACAAATGATTAAATTTGAAAGTCGAAGGATCACAAATTATCAATTTAAATTTTAGTACTAAATTAAACGTGACAAAATCACTATACTCAGAGAAACTCAGATGGAGAAGTTTAAATTAAAAAGAAGGAATAAGTAATAAGCAAGAGTATAGTGAGTTTGGATGACTTACCCACTATGGTCTTTGTCAAAGTATTGGAATGCCTTGTAGAGATGCTCTTCTCTGTCCAGTTTGTTCAAGTGCATTGTTGCTGTAATAAACTCTTCATAGTCTATCAGTCCATTTCCATCAGCATCAGCCTGCACCCCATATATATGTGTCAGTAGTTCAACTCTATCGATCTACTCTTAGCAATATATATGTATATATTGGATCATGAATAATTAATTAACTTACAGCTTCCATTAACTGTTTAACTTCATATTCTGAGAGCTTTGTCCCTTGCTTAGCTAATCCTCGCTTTAGCTCCTCAAGGGTAATAGTGCCATTCCCATCTGAATCCATGGATTTGAACATTTCCTTCAATCCCATTATTTCTTCTTCTGACAGGCACCCTGCTATCACCTGTATATATGTATATCATCCAACAAACCCAACATCATATCATATCATATCATATCCTGTTGGAAAATATATATGCTTGTATTCTATAACAATTGAGAGATCCAAATTAAAAGAATAAGGTAGCTAGGGAAGGCATGCATGATGAGTATGTATGTGCCATGTGCGTGTTAATTAAATAAAATTAATATTATTACCCGAAGAGCAACTTGCTTGAACTTGTTCATGGCTCTGAACTGTTTGATTCTATCGAAGACAACATTGTCTAGTGGTGTATCTGGTGCTTCTCCATCCTCCTTGATCCACGGATGATCTGTACACGCACCATATATATTTTTTTTAAGAAAAATAATATATATATATATATATATATATATATATATATATATTAGTGCTCATTTGCGGCGGGGCTTGCGGTGCGGGGTTCCAAAAATATACCAACAGTGTAAGAAAACACACCACAATGAAATGCAAAAAAAAAAAAAAAAACACCAAAAAATACAGGATACACCCAAAACAATACACCATATAACTCACATCTCTAATGGTGTATTTCCAAACACTGTATGGTGCATTTACTTACATCTAATGGTGTATTTTTTGGTAATACATACTTAATTTGTGTGTGCTTTTGTGGTGCATTTCATAACGTTGATGATAATCGCTCAACTGTTGGTGACCTCGTATGGGAGGACCCGCCGCACCTGAACCTAACTCTCTCTCTCTATATATATATATATATATATATATAATATTCTTGTGTATATATATATATATATATATATAAAGCTAGCTAAGAAAACTTACTCAAGACTTCAAAAGCTGTCAACCTTTGCTTTGGGTCTGACTTCAACATCTTCCTAACAATGTCCTTTGCACCAGGTGAAATTGAAGGCCATGGATCACTTGTAAAATCAATATGACCACGCAATATTGCATTGAAGATTCCATTCTCTGATTCTGAAACACATCAATCATTCCATTCCATTCCATGTCTTTAGCTTCATATATATATATTTAGTGTGGTTTATATAATGCATGGGAAACAATATATATACGTACCTGCCCAAAAAGGGGGAACTCCACAAAGAAGAATATATAACATTATTCCAATACTCCATATATCAACCTCAGGTCCATAACCTCTTTTCAACACTTCTGGTGCTATGTAATATGCACTGCCTACTATGTCTTTAAATACTTCTCCTGAAATAAATAAATACAAAGACATATTAATATAAGAAGATTGGATGAGTGCACACTACTGGAAATTATTGAATTTTCGACCACCTCAAAATGATCTTCAATCAAGTTGAAAGTCTTGTTCCGACCACTTTTGGTATCCGGAAAAACTTTTGTTGCAATTTCCGACCACTTTTGGTATCCGGAAAAACTTTTGTTGCAATTTCCGACCACTTTTTACTTTCGACTTGATATAAGATCACCTCCAGGTGGTCGGAAATTCTATAATTTCTCAAATTAAATTAAATTAAATGTAGAACGAATTGAAATTGTTGGGAATGAATGAACATGCCTTCCTTGTAGAAGACAGAGAGGCCGAAATCCGTAACCTTAAGAGGAGAATTTTCATCCTTATTCAAGAGGAGGAAGTTCTCGGGCTTGAGATCTCTATGGATGACGCCCATGGAATGGCAGCTATGAACAGTCTGCACAATGGTTCTCAGCAGCGACGCGGCGGCGCGTTCCGTGTAATGCCCCTTGGAGATAATCCGGTCAAAGAGCTCCCCGCCGGCGCAGAGCTCCAGAACCAAATGCACCGAGTGCTTATCCTCATACGCCCCCTTCAGCTCCACAATGTTCTGCTGCCCGGACAAATGGTGCATAATCTGAACCTCCCGCCGCACGTCCTCGATATCCTCCTTGTTCACCAGCTTCCGCTTCGCGATCGTCTTGCACGCGAACTGCTCGCCCGTTTTCTTGTGAATGCACAGGTGCGTCACCCCGAACTGCCCCCTCCCCAGCTCCTTCCCAATACTATACGTCGCGCGGACGTCCTCCATCGCCCGCCCCAGCACCTTCCCCACCTTCCCGGCGGACGGGGCCGCGGCGGCCGTCGGGGGTGTCGTGGCATTATCGCACCCGTTATTATTCTTGTTATGCGATGACGATGACGATGACGATGATAATGATAGTGAGTCCCCGTTTGTTGCGCTCTGAGGATCGCCGGAGGAATCACCCTGAGCGCAACAGTTCCCCATTGGAATAGGGGAGATGGGCGGGGAACGAAGGAAGAAGAAGAAGAATGCAATGGGTACGTGATCGAGGACGGTGATGATGAACAAGAGAGAAATAATCGAGGATGGGATGAGAGAGAGAAATTATTGGAGGCTGCTGGGACTCACAACCAAATGGTTTCATAGCGAGAGAAATGGTGCAGTTACGTTGAGGTAGATCAATGAGATGGAACTAACGACGCATGCGAATTAGGTCGGAGGAGACGATCGATCGATGGCGAGAGATTTTAGCTACCACTATTATCACTATATATATTATATGCATCTTACGTGTTCTTGCCATGCCCGTGCAATTTTATTCTTATTTTCCATCTCTCCATAATATTATGTATTTCTTCTACTGTTCCGGCCAATGCTTCTCAAACAATCCATCGACTTCTATGTGTCTCGACTGTATTGGAACAAGGTATCCACATGCTTCTACATAACAAAGCTAAAATCATCTCATATCTCACTTTTTTTTTACCATTCAATTTCTATACCATCCTTTCTTGGTTTTTGGTAATAACGACCGAACCCTACACTCTACGGTAGCTAATTAAAAAGGTACAATTTTGAAAAAATTTGGTAAAAATCAAACTTTGGAACCTCTCATTATATTGCGACAAAACAAAACTATCAACTTATTTTGAGCTGCTAGTAAAGCAAAGTTCTAATGCTTCTCAAAGACTAATGTAGGCAGGGTCGGTTTTTAGATTTTTGTGGCCCTATTCGAGTAAATAAATAAGACCCTACTAAAATTAAATCTTTAAAACTAATACCGTAATTTTATTATCTAAATATATATAATAAAAAATATATATGTGCATCGCACGCACATTGCACGCGCACTGCACGAATAATTGGACAATTATTTGCTCGAATTCAAGCAAGGATAACATAAAAAAAACATAATCGATACAACCCTACATGTTCCTACCATTTCTTTATAAAGCCTTTTAAGTTTAATTAAAAACTTTTAATTTTTATTTCTAAATTAACTAGGTAAAAATAAAATATTGAGCTTTTAAAATTTGGGGCCTTGTGCGGTAGCCCAGCTTGCACAGCCCAAAATCCGGGCCTGCTAGACACACTATTGAGCCGTACTGACCTTTCATGGTGTTGATGCACTCACATCAGTCTGTCTTCCTACATAGGATTGGTTCCTCTATGTTTCCCTAGTTTCTAGGGTTAGGGCCACTAGTCTTGGTCCCTTTTTCCTTTGAATCTATAGGGGCAGGCTCCCTGCCATTCTCCTTGTCATTTCTTTCTTTTCTAGTAGGGGGCATAGTTGTACTTGTTACTACTATTATTTGTACTTTTTATCTCATCCCACGTTTTGGGAGAAGGATGATGGTCGCTCTATCTTGCCTGACTTTGTCAATTTGTCAGGTATTTTATTATTTTAAATATTATTCTATATTACTTATTATATTTAATTAATTTCAGAACGTGTAAAACTATAATTAATTAATTAATTAATATATATATATATATATATATATATATATATATATATATATATATATATATATATAATTTCTTGTATTGCAGCTGGAGTTGACTATAGTTTTGAGACTTGCCGGTAATGCTGAGACCGACATATGAAAGCATACATACAAAATAATAGTTTTTGTTCTTATAATACTCAGCTATGTCTCTCTTGCTATAGTAGGAGGTCCTCATGGTTGGAGTGCTCGCGCATATCATATCCTTTGGAGGTGGCGAGAGTAGGACGTAGTATGGAGTACATTTGTAGTCAATTTGTTCTTATGATGTTGATTCCCATAATTCCTAGCCTAGTATGTAAATTGAATGAATGGATATTTTTATGTTTTAGTATTCTGGCATTAGTATATGCCGTATTCTCTTGGCTTGTTGTAAGATAGATTAGGATAAACGAATTTGTAAGAATATTTTTATTATGAATGAATGAATATTAATTGAAAAGTTGTGATTTCTGAGCTGAGGTGTATGAATGACAATGTTATGTTTTGGCAGGGTCGGTTTTTTGATTTTTGTGGCCATGTTCAGGTAAATAAATAAGGTCCTACCAAAATTAAAATCTTTAAAACTAATACTGAAATTTTATTATCTAAATATATAACAAAAAAAATTATCCGTGCATCGCACGTACATTGCACGCGCACTGCACAGATAATTGGGCAATTATTTGCTCGAATTCAAACAAGGATAACATAAAAAATAATAATAATAATAATAATCGATACAACTCATTTCATCAATTGCACTATATAATATTCGTTGTTATAATTTAAAGATTATAACAAATATTTTCCGTGCAACGCACAGGTAAAAATAGACATATTATGGAATAATAATAATAGTGTGCACAAGTTTTGAGCCTTAGACCTCAAAGTTAAAATACAATAAAAGCATATTCCTACCATTTCTTTATAAAGCCTTTTAAGTTTAATTAAAAACTTTTAATTTTTATTTCTAAACTGACTAGGTAAAAATAAAATATTGAGCTTCTAAAATTTGGGGCCCTGTGCGGTAGCCCAGCTTGCACAGCCCAAAATCCGGGCCTGAATGTAGGTTATAAGCACATAATGTTGGAATTTTTAGCATAAACTGATATTTTGGGTGACTATTTTGTGGTACAAATATATGTGTGTACGTCTACTCCCAATTTGGATCAAGTCAAAGTGGATTCGGGTTCTTCGTAGTAAGACGAAAAATTTGATATAATGTACGCTCAAAATGGGTAATAGGTGAATGAAAAATTGATTTTCAAAGTGAACCTATTTGAGAAGAGTCAAAAACTTAAGTTTAGATGCTAATTAAAATTAGCATATTAATAACTTTCGTTGCACTGCACGATAGTTGTTTTAAAAGCTTAACTGTAATTAAGCTTTGGAAGCTTAATTAGTGAATTGAGATTTGAGCTCCTTTCAGTGCTATACGAAAGTTGTTGTGTAATTAAGCTTTGGAAGCTTAATTTGAGCATTGGAACTAATGCACAATTCGGTGCATGTGGATTGAGTGAAAGAAGTACAAATCGTGCTTATGAACACGAATCGGTGGGCATGAATCAATGTTGTATGTATTGATTCGTGCTGCACTTTTGCACCACTCGGGTGTGGTTTTTGGTCCCAATTCGTTAACCTTTTGTAAGTACGGACTTCTCGGTCACTCAGATATTTTGAAACGGGTCGTTATGGTCGGTACGAATTAATCGAATATTAAGTTCGTGACCGTTGATATTATTACAATAATAAGTACGATCGTTTCAAACGTTATTATCCAATTATTAAATTGGATTAAGGTTGGTTAATGTGCCATGAATAGGCTATTTATTCCTATTTCTCCTACAAAAAGCTTGTGTGTTGGCAGATTGTTTCAACTCCGTTTTTGAAACTCTCAAACTCTCATCCTTTGATTTCAAAGAGAAAATTGTCAGCCAACATAATTCCGTAAAATATAAGAGTGCTCAACTTGTGTTCTAGTTCGCTGGGCTTTGGGTTTGAGTGCTCGAACGCCAAAGTCGTAGTTCGTTTTATCCTGGGAGATTGACGCCACAACGCTCCTAGCACCCTCGGGAGGTGGCGACTCGGTTTTAAGGAGAGTGTGTGTACACACGACTCGGATTTCTGTTTATTCTATTTCTTCTCGTTGGGTTAAAACCTCAGGTTAGAAACCCTTTCTTGTTTTTTTTTTCTTGGTTTCGTACAAAGAGGTGGGATTAATCTCGTAAAGATTAAATCCCTTGTACTAGTTTCGTATTAGTTGTGGTGAGATTATTTTTGTTAAAATAAATACCTATTTTGTTAATATATATACTTCATATATATATATGTAATTTTGGTTTTGTACCAAAATTGGTTGTGGAATTAATTTTCTACAAATTAATTTCCATTTTTCGGTATAAATATATATTATATATATTTTTTGTGTATCGATTTATTCACCAATATCTAACAATCTTAAACCGATTATTTTGGTGAATTAAGGTCGATGGCTCCCACTATTGTTGAAAGTGGTAGCATGAATGTTGCTCGTGGTGCACATTTGTATGGTCGGAACGGCAACGTCGTTGCACATTCTGAAACTCCAGTGGACTTTGGTTCGGAGACCGGTGGTGGCATCAAAGGGTATGTCCCTACGATGAAGGTACGTGGGACAGTACTTTGTGGATTGGTCGAAAGACCATGGAAATTCAAAGTATTGAATTTTGAAGGGTTGCAACTTAAAATGTTGTACAACCTAATGATTCTCGGCATGTCATGGTTCTTGACCGAGATGGTTCCTAGTGGAAAGGAACATGAGTCTAACGCTCAAACCGTTAGCATAGTAAGGATTTGGGAATATTTGGTTTTCCTATGCCTAAACTATGTCTTGAATGGTTTGTGTGACTAGTTGTGGGAATCATTGGACCTGAAGTATTAAAGTACAATGATGACGCTAAGGCAAAAATGATTGTCGTTAGCTAATTACTTGAATACAAGATGGTGGATTCCAGGATCGTCTTGAGTCAAGTAGACGAAGGAATGATCGAAAGTGAAGTCTTTCAAGTGGAACCTGGTATCCATTTGTTGTCTTTGGGCTAAAAGGACTTCAAGAATTATGAGAAGCAATTCTACAGAAAGTGGACTGATTGTAAAGCACTTATGGGGAAGAATAACAATTCTAAATCTAATTAACGTGGTGCAGGTCAATTAGAAAGAGTCTGAAATCATCCTCTCGGCAATGGTGACCGAGGTAAACCTGGTTGGTTCGAACCAAACGAAATGGTTCATTGATACGGATGCGACCCGACATATGTGTTCCAATCGTGAGTTGTTTACTACCTTTGAGACGACTAATATTGGGAATGTATGGCTGGAAAACTCTGCTCAGTCTAATGTGGAAGACATGGGCAAAGTGGTTCTCAGAATGACCTCTGGGAAAGAGCTGACTCTGAACAACGTTTTGTACGTATCGGAGCTACGGAAGAACTTAGTTTCTGGTTCATTGTTGAACAAGAATGGCTTCCGGTTAGTGTTTGAGTCAGATAGAGTTGTTTTATCAAAATCAGGAATGTACGTAGGCAAGGGTTATCTGCTATATGGGATTTTTAAGCTAGATGCAATAACCGTGATTAATAAAAGCGTTATTAATTCAACCTACTTACTTGAGTCTTCGTGTTT